CTTGTAACAAATTACCGCATTACTTTTAGAAGTGGATCTAATAAATGGTATCGAATTAAAGACAATATGAACCAAGAAATGGTATAATAATAATTTACAATCTTACCATATCATGTTTAGCGTATATGTGTACTATGTTAATTTTCTAATCGAATATAAAGATCTTTGATACAACAAAAGTTTATGAATGGGTTGAAGTAGAATCAGAAACTTTAAATATGGACATAGATGTACCTAGAATACTTTATCCTAACCATCCTTTTACAACAGAATCGTTGCGCATTCACATTTTAAATTGGGTGCCTAATCAATATAAAATTACGAACAGAAGAAAACAAATATATAATTATAAAAATATAGAGCTAAGCGAATCGGGTAGGAAACGGATAGTTAATCCAGTATTTCGATTTGACGTATTGGGTTGTCATGCTTAAAATAGTAATTGTAAAACGATTTTATTTTAATATATATATGGTAAACTTAAAAGCATGAGAAATAAAAATATAAACAGTCATTTGTAAATTTATAAAAGTAAAATATTATATATATATAGTGTGGTTAATTGGTTAAACACCAGACCCGGAGTTTGGGTCTAAAAACGATTAAACCAGCTCTGAGCACGAACCCTGAGCATAGACCCTGGGTCTAGACCCGGGGTCCACCGGGAAAATAAAATACATAAATTATCCGTAAGATATGCCTAGCATTAATTATTAATTATTTATTTTTAGTAAGATATCAACAAAAAAACATGATATGATTTAATATTTTTATTTTATTTATATTATATTATGAAATGAAATATGATTATATTATATTATGAAAATGGATTTATTGATTTGATGTTTTTTTAATAAAAAATTTATTAGTGATTTTTACGCCCAAAACTATAAGCAAAAAATTTTTTTTGAAGTTTAAAAAGATTTTTGAAAATATTTTGATTTGATATGATTTTAAAATCTTATTTGTAATTAAATTTTTTTGCGAAAATTACTTGTGATCTTTTATAGTTTTTTTTAAGATCATTTTTGTAAAATTATCTATTTTTTTATGTATATTAAAAGAGGTGGTTATTTCTAAATAGTTTTTTTAAAAATATTTATATTGAACTTTTTTAATTTTATATAATCTTTTTAAGGATAATATTTTAATGTAACAAATGACATATTCGTTATTTTTTAACATTTTTCAAATTTTTTTGACAAATAGGGGGAAAATAATATTTCCATCATAAAGATGTTAAATTATAAATTCAATGAAGATGTTCCTTAGAAAAATGACAATTATCATAATCGGTATACATATTAGATTTTTGACGCACATGGGCAAAAATATGTATTTTTAACGTTAAATTAAAATATACCATATAAAAGTGACAATTGTCATAATCGTTATTTTTAAAGTTATTTGACGTAAATGGGCTAAAATAAGTTTTGTTAACATGTTAAAACAAAACATCATTGAAGATGTACCCAATAAGTGGGAAAATTACGCCAAAAAATTTCAAAAACTTTAAAAATAACGATTATAACAATTGTAATTTTCTATATATCTTCATATTAGTTTAACATGAAAAAAAATTTTTACAATCTATATTTTTAACCATTTGCGTCAAAAAAATTCAAATAACTTTAAAAATTATGATTATGACAATTACCACTTATCTATTGTACATCTTCACTGAAATTTTGTTTTAACGTGTTAGTAATCTATATTTTTGACCATTCACGTCAAAAAAATTCTAAAAACTTTAAAAATAACGATTATGATAATTGTCACTTATATATGGTATAACTTCACAATATTTTTAATTTAACAAGTTAGACTTATTTTAGCATTTGCGTCAAAAATTTTCAAAAAACTGTAAAAATAACATGTTTAAAAACTATATTTTTGCCCAACGTCAATATTCAAAATACTTTAAAAATAACGGACAATTGTCATCTTTCTATTACATCATGTAATTTCAATTTAACATGTTTACAATCTATATTTTTACCCATTTGCGTCAAAAATATTCAAATCACTTTTAAAATAACTATTATGACAATTGTCACTTATCTAGGGTACATCTTCACTGAAGTTTTATTTAAACATGTTAACAATACTTATCTAAGCCCATTAACGTCAAAAAAATTTAAAAAACTTAATAAATAACGATTATGTAAATTCCCACTTATCTATGGTACATCTTCATTAAATTTTTTAATTTAACATGTTAGCTATACTTATTTTTGCACATTTGTATCAAAAAATCCAAAAAACTAAAAATAACGATTATGACATTTGTCACTTTTATATGGTACATCTTAATTGAAATTTTAATTTGTAATGTTAAAAATACATATTTTTGCCCATTAGCGTCAGAATAATATGTTTAAAAATATCGATTACGATAATTGTCATTTTTCCAAGGAACAACTTGATTGAATTTATATTCAACATCTTTACAATATAAATATTTTTATCCTTTGATGTCAAATTTCAGAAATTTTAAAAAATAACGAATATGACAATTGTCACATTTAAATATTATCCTTAAAAAGATCATATAAAATAACATAAAAAATTTCAATATAAATATTTAAAAAAACCATCTTTTAATATACTTAAAAAAATAAATTATTTTTCAAAAATGATCTTCAAAAATAAAATAAATTATTTTACTAAAAAAAAAAAATAATAATTTATTCTAAGCATATCTTAGGGAATATTTATGTATTTTATTTTTCCGAAGTCTGTACCCCGGGTCTGTGTTCAGGGTTGGTGCTCAGAGCAGGCCTAATAGTGTTGTTAAACGGCTCAATTTGAGCCTATTTTTAAAAACGGCGAACTCAATATTTTAAAAGTTTATGCAAGACTGAAGATTTTGGTTATAGGTAGCATAAAGAAGTCTCGAGGCTTAGGAAATATTTTTCTGGCTAAAGTATTGAGTTAGCCGTTTTTAAAAATCTGGTCAAATCGAGCCGTTTAACAACACTAAGGCCTGACTGAGTACAAAATTGAGTGGTAGATTTTTCGACTAAGCAAATTAACATCACTTATATATATACAAATACAATAAATCAAAATGATAATCAATATTTGTTGCTATTTTTTTTTTAGCTAACCATATAAAAAATATGTCCATTTTCCATATTTGATATTAATATCTAAGGCCTACTTTGTTTAAAAAATATCATCATTTAAATAATTTATTTATGTTGGCAATTCCATTTCTGCATGTAATTATCTCCTAAAATAAAAGAATTTTCTGTTCTATACACGCGGTTTTTTAAAATTAGAAGACATGAAAAATTTCAATAATGCCGCAATTTTTTATATAGTGTTTTCAATTTTATTCTTGCCAAATATTTTATTATTTGATTCTATTTATTATTATTTCAAACTGTATTTATTTTATAAAAGAAATTAAAATCATAACCACTTCACATAAATGTTTTTACATATAAAAATAGGCAATTAAATAACTGTTCATAATAAAATTTTCTAAAATAAATCATTAAATCAGTTAAAGAAATTATCGTGCACAATAATACTAAATTTTAGATTATCACTATCTTCTTCTTTCTCGACACTCCTCGAAAAATTATTAATTTGTGTAATATTTATATAATAATTTTAGGATTTTTGAAAATTTTTTGTAAGCTTTGATTTGGCTTCTAAAGTGATCTACATCTCATATATATGTATAAATTTACATTATATTTTATTACCCATAAAATTTTTATGAATTTTAAATACTAGTGGATATTTTTATTTTTCATATGAATTCAATTGAAAACAATATAAAAGAAAATTAATATTTATTTTATATACTTATTGTTAATCTTATATTTCTCAGGATTCAACAAATATAATTTCGTTAGTACAAGTAGATCTCAGAAAAGTATTAATTTATTAAATGCTATATTTTTTAAAACTTTGTAATTATTAACATCAAGACCAAGTAACAGGATTAGCTATTTTCAAGATAATTTATTCTAATATAAATACAAATACATTTAAAAAAGAGTAATTATCTTACATATAAATACAAAATACTGGTTTTCTAAAAAAGTATTTAAATACAAATATTTAACTTTTTGCGATAAATACTTTGATGCTTTTTCCATGTCAATTTTTTAGTACCAAAAATATTTTAAATTAAATAAAATTTTTATTATTAACCATTTTCTAAAATTATCGAATATCTGCAGTTATATGTAAACATTATAAATAATACATTTATTGTTGCAGTAGCATATCATATATAAATTATGTATTAATTGTAAATATAATTAATAACGCTGAAAATTGAAATCTCTCAAACTATGATTTTATTTTTAATTGAGCAGATATTAAATTTAATTTCATCATTTTTGATTTTTTATTATATTTTGAATAAATCTTTCATTTAGAGTATATTGTCTTTGTCATAGAATTCCTATAAAAATATCTTAATAACATGACAGTTTTCAATTATTTATACTATATCCATCTCATCTTCAAAAAAAAAAAATTGTATTTCTTCTTTTTGGTACTAAAAATAAAACAAGATAAATGAGGAAGATGTTAATTTTCGTTAACTCGCGTCATTTCAATATTCAAATAATTAAATGGGGATTTACATTTTATAACAAAACATAAAAAAAGTATATATATTTATTATCATCTGAAAATCGTGAAATCGTAATAAATACAAAATACTTTATTTTTTAATATTTAAATACAAAATACTTTATTTTTTAATATTTAAATACAAATATTATATTTTATAAAATATTCAAGAAAATACAAATACAAATATTCATGTTACTTCCTAACTAACTCTGTCAGTTAAGATAATGTTGGATAATACATCAAAGAATCTATAAAGTAAAGAGTGGTCATAGTTTATTCTGCTCAATCTAAATGTAACCATATTTAACTTTCTGTAATATTAATATTTGACAAATGTCATAATTGTCAATTCTGACTGATCAGTTGAAGGCATAAGTGTCAGTCTTCTGATTCAAAACTCTAGTAGATTCTTTCAAATGCATGGAAGATGATTGGGAGAGTAATGAAAATGAAGTAAAACTTATATCTGAGATATTTAGAGAGGATTTCTCGGACTTTAGATCTCCAGATAATATAGTATATAATATTTAAATCCCAGATTTAAAATTTATTTAGTGCCATGTCCCTCCAATAATTACAGTGAGACTTAATGATAGAAATCCACACTTAGCAGATATTGGTATAACATTAAAGTTTATTTGTGGCTTTGATTATCCACATAAGTAAAAAGAAGGCAAACTTTATAATCAAAAAATGTATATATCATGTTTAGAGTGCCAAAAATTAATATCATGGAATCAAATGGATTGGAAAAGATTCAATTAATGGAATTAAAAAAATCCATTATTTTGTTTGCAAATTCTTTAAAAGGAAAACAAATGTTATTAGAAATTATTCTTAATGCACAAAAATTATTATATAGGTGAGATTAGCATTTGTTGTAAAATTTTAATTTTTATTTTATAGTATTCAAAATAATTTACAATTTAATAATCAACCTACCGAACAGAATAGATTGCAAAAATCATCCACATTCTCTAGTGTAAACTCAAATATGATCAAAGTTTCATCTCACTATGGATCATTTTATGAAGAAATGCTTATAAATCAGAAAAATAAAGCTAATGAATTAGAGAAATTGAAAATGGAAAAATTTGAGAGATTACAGAAAATTCGTTTTCAAAATATGATAGAAATTGAAAAGGAAATAAAGAAAAAACAAGAATTGGATATAAAATTACCCAATAACATTAGGTAATAATGAGTTTTAATTTTGGTTACGTTTGAAATGAAAGAATTTCCAATTTTTACTTGTTAACTATAATAGCATGAAATTTTATTTTTATTAACTAGTCTTTTTTTTGAAAGTTTAAATTACATATTACTACAATAATACAAGTGATCTATATCAGGTCTAATGTTTTAATCCAGGCCTTGTTTAAATTTTCCTAGCCCCATCATGAAGAAATTTTTTTTATTTGTCACCAAAAGCCTTATGAAATAAAAATTAAATTAATATTTCCACCCTTCCTACTCCAATTAATTTAAATATAGAAAAAATTGTAAAAAAAATCTACAAATAATGTTTTTTGCAAAAATTTATAAATATATTAATTTATTTCACAAAATCAATTATATTATATTTAAAAATTCAAACCTCTCTTGGTTCACTTCAAATTTTTAAAAAAATAACTAGCCCAACTCAGCCCAAGGATTTAAAAAAAAATACGCTTGACTTTAAGCCAGTTATGCTGGGCCAGGTTTTAAAAATCTCTATGTCAAAAATAAATAACAGGAACACAATTCATCTTTTTTTAAAAAAAACGAACTTTGTCAAACGTTTATTTTGAATGCATTTGCATTCTTATGCAAATAAGCCAACAACCTCTAAATATTTTGATCCAGAATCAATTCTCCAATGTCCAATATTTTATAAAAAGCATGGAAGCAAAAATTAACAATATTCTGCTATTTTAATCTTTGTCATATATAAAAAAAAAACCATGGAGAGAGCTAATAAAAGAAATAAAATAGAAAAACGTTATTGAGAAAAACAATTGTTTAGTATACCAAAATTTTTTAACAAGCATCATAATAATCAAGACTGGTTACAATGTCTTAAATGTAATTATTAGTCACACACATGGAAGCTGTTGCAATTTTATTTTTATTTACAAGATTTTGTATAATGTTCATTTATTTGTTTATAAATATTTTTATATATTACTTTTATGCTTTAAATCATTAAATATGTCTTTTAAGATGTATAAATTTTATGTGAAAAATTAAGCAGAGCTTTTTATAGCCCTGAGCAAAAGTTCGTTCATCCCCAGATATAGTTCACTCTTTCCCCTAAAAAATAAAATTTTGATGTATTTTTACAATTTAAACCTACCATAAAACTAATAAAGTGGAGCAAAAGTAAGGTTTGCTTTTTAGGGTTAGACAAGAATCCAGCCTTCCCTACGACTGTTTTTTCTGCAGTTTCAGCTGTTATCCATTCATTTTTTAAAGAGGCATTTTTATTTGCAAGGACTTAGTTCGTTTTCATTATCTTAAAACTCAACACTACCACTTATTTAGTCTCATTTATATTTACAAAACTAAACACCCTGCAACTTTTGATTGAATCGCCATTTATCTCTGGAATAAGTAAATTCTGAGATTTTGTTTCACTAAGTTGGCTGATTAAGTTTCCCATATTTTTTACTACAATAATAGCTAATCATCCTATAGTCGGAATATTGATATTTGTTCATGGCATTTAAATCTCTAAACCATTCATGAATATTTGATATGAAGAAATCAATTTGTGGATTTCAAATTTCAAATAAATGAATTATTGTAGGAGATTAAAAGAAACAAATATAATTTTTTAAAATAAATCCAATTTAATATTCAAAAGTTAATAAAAAATTTTTCGTCATTTTAAAGTATTAATAAAATTTTTTTTTAAAATCAGCTAATTTTAGCATCTATCAAAGTAGTGTCTCACTACCGATCCCTGCTTAACGCACTATTTTTAATAGTTACTTGAACAGTATTGATAACAAACTATAAAAATTAAAATAAGATAAGTTAAAAATACTTCATTTGGCGAAAATAAAATGTCAGATAAAATATGATTGCAGCAATTATGCCTTGTTAACAGAGTTGTTAAAAGATACTTTTTAAATGGATCTAGATACAGATACATCGTCTAAAATAATATCTAGATACCGATATCTTAATCAAAAATCTATCTAGAAACAGATACCACATTTTTATATCTAGATACTTCAAAAAAAATAAAATAAACAGTTTGTAAATAGAAATAAAATAAAATTTCATACCATTTTGATTATTCAATAAAAAGTGAGTAGGTTAAACTGGGGATAGTGTGTTCCCGGGGCAGGTACTTTATCAAATAACTTAACAACTAATAAACTTTGAGATTTAAAATTTAAGCCAAATATGTATTTTAATAAGGTGCTTAAGTAGGTCTATAAATGTTTCGGACAAAATTGCTCATGAAAAGTTTAAAGTAACTTTTTAAAATTTTAAATTTTCGCTAATAACTTTTTTCTATAAAAGTTATTGACTTAATATTTCTAAATGAAAAAAAAAATCTCCGTTTTATCATACAAAATTAAATTTTAATTAATGTCAAGACCTGGGGCAAGTTTTGGCGGGGTACCTATTATCACAGGAATTATTTCGAATAAAAAAAATCCAACTAAATTTTTATAAACACTGGAAGCCACTAGTTTGTCTAGGGCCACAATATGAAGATGATCTTTTGTAAATTATATTACAGTTTAATGACCAAATTCCATATATTTAAATAATATAGATTAACCTAATAAATTTAACACATTTGACAATTTATTTTTATTTTTTTACTTAGAATTAACATTTTTATATAAAAAATTTTGAAAATCTATAAATAAAGAAGCGCTATGACACGCAACGCGAAAGGATAATAAGTACCACGGGTGTTTTTCATATTTCTTAAATTTTCATTTTTTTAAAATTTCATATTAATTAAAAACTAAAAGATTTTTTAATTTCTACCACAATATAAAGAATAAAACTACGTTTAAAAATTTTGGAAAAATTGCTTCATCTAATCTTTATAGCACAATTTTTTATAGACAATATAACCCCGGTCTTCCCTAGTCATTCTCACAACTACTCATGATTGACTAAATATATCACAATATATGGACTCATTTCTGATTTTTTCTATATTTTTTTAAAAGTTGGTCTTTTATTGTAATTTTTACATAGGCAATTAAGGTTTTGGCCTATATATTAAGTTCGTCATTTAGTAATACTATTTAATTTAAATTTTGAAACCACCATTGTTAATATTTCTAAAGAGCGGATCTGATTCTGGTTACTAAATATTTTATCTTTCTGATTATGGCTATTAGATTTGACTCAATTTCAGGTTTTGGCTACTTATTTAGAGAGTACTTCATCTGAGCAATCGGTGAAGATAAAAAGGTGATCACCTTTTAAGATTTTTTTAAAAATTTATTTATTCAATATTGATATAACCTCAACCTAAATTTTATTATTATGTTTTGCAAGTTTTTTGGATAAAGATTTTACAAAAAATATAAATGATACCAATGCAGAGTTACAGATAGATCATCACTATCGTAGATCCTTTCAAATTAGCATTAATAAAATTGAGAAACATCTTGACACCCATCTCATTGATTCATATAAACAGTAAATATATATTTTTTATAATGTTTATAACTTTAGTATTATAAATAAAAAATAGTTCAATTTTACATGAAAATATTAATAATCCAAATGTTAATGGCTTACCTCCTATCAATCCAGGTGAATATTTATATTTAACAAAATAATTTTTTACAATATATCCTTGTCTTAAATGCTTAGACAATCATCACACTCAAAAGTTGGCTTATACTGAACTAACAAATGGTCATGTTTTTGATGAGGAATCATTGAGTACTTCCTATCAAGGCAATCCATCAATTGATGAAGATAATGGATTTAATTTATTAAGTAATACAATTTTGCTTGATATAATAAATTAGAGATATGGCAGATCTCGATTTACCACTGGCTTCAAGTTGAATTAATTTTCTGTATGTCCCAGAGTTAATAAATACTTTTCTAACATATCGTGATGCCGATATTTTTATAAGAATGTATCTATCTAAACATGGGTAGAACATTTATATATCGAGATAATACAGTATCTAAATACTTTTAGAAAAATATATTTTATAGATCTATTTTCTAAATAGAGTATCGAAATAATTTGACAATTTGGTATGTGCTCATAACTAAACTCTATTGTAATTAAAATTTAATTCAATAAAATATTGTTTAAAAAGTCAGTCAATCACAAAAGATCAAAGTTTCCAAAATTTATTGACTACTTTATTATGAAATAAAAAATAAACTTTCTGGGTGTTTATAATAAAAAAAATATTCAAACAAACAAACCCACCATAAAGTACTAATTTAAAAATATAAAATTATTCGTTTGTTATTTATAATACATTAGATATAGTATACTTAGACCTGTACACTGGCCTTCCAGTCGAAAATGCCTGGGAAAATCACGCCCAGCGGCATATAATTTTTTTTCTTATTCTAATGATAGGTAAACTTTACTGATTAAAATATTAAAAAAATTTACATACAAAACTATAAAAACTATCTTAAATAAAATTTAATAACCATATAAAAAAATATGAGATATTAAAATTAAATTAATTTTTTTATTTATGAAAACTGCATAGGACCATGAATTGATAAAAAAAATTTGATTTGCAAATTTTTAAGCTAATATTCTGGCGCAGATAAAAAAAAACATTTTTATTTCAAAAATTATCCAGTTGTTGGCTTTTATTTTTTGACAAAATATCTAATAGAGCAAAATTGCACCTAGTCGGAATTTATTATTAAACATTAAACTTATAGACTATGTTTTAGATTAATGTATATAGAGATTGAAAACTAAGAGAAAATATCAGATACAAAATATTTGACAAGGTTAGCAAATAAACATTCGATAACTAGCAGGTGCCACACTTTCAATTAGTATTTTAAAAAATTTATGTCGGTGCGCTGATTTATGCCGCCTATGTTGACGGCGGCTAAAAAGCGGTGCGCCGCCTGCCGCCTTAGATTTTGAAAACTCGCGCCGGCCGCCGATAGCTTCGTCGGTGCACAAGTTTGACTTGATAAATTCCTTAAAAAAAGTAATTATACACCCATGTAGAAGTTACCTTGTTTAAATTTCATATTTAATGACCAAAAGAATATTAAAAAATAAGTGTAAAAATACAAAAGTATATAAATGTAATATTTTATACATATTTTTATTTATTGAAATAAGAACAAGTTTTTTTGCATAGAGCATACTGAAGCTCAATATTTAGTATTGGATCCCAATATTCAGTACGAAAGAGCGCCAAGTGAATATTTTATAGAGATGGTTTTATTAACAAAAATTGTTATGATTTATTTAAAACGTTTTAAAGAGAATGTTGATCCAGAATAAATTTAATATACCATGAATTCTAATTTTTCTTCCCTAAACAATATTTTTTTAAATAAAGATGATCTTAGCTAACTACTATAATATATTGCTTCATAATTAGGCAATCAAGCTGGAGACAAGCCTAAATTCATACAAGGAAGAAATTGTAGAAAAAAATATGAATATTTAATTTTTTTCAGGGTTGGCATGTCGGTCAATTGACCGGTCAAATGGTCAATTGACCGGAGGAGTATTTGACTGGTCAAATACGGTCAAATACTCTAAAATATTAATGGCGAATAAATATTTTGATATAATTAACTAGTATGCATTAAAAGCATGTTTATCAATCTTATTATTTTTTTATTAAAATATAAATATGTAATTTTTCTAAATATAGTAATATTTTTAGTTATTTTTTTGCCTAATCATTGCCGTTTCTCGCCTTCTTTATTTTTTTCAATTCATTTTTCTTAAAAAAAATAAAAATACCCGATTTATTATAATCATAATATAATTTTTTCATTCTTATTTTTTAATAAATTTAAATTTTATTTAATATTTAGCCGAGTATAAATTATATTAATTCTCATTTGTTTTACTTACACTTGCTATATTTGGTTTTTAAAATTAATTTTCATTTTAATTGTTCTGGTCAGATTTAAGGAATATTATTCAATTCTGGTAAAAAGTTTATTATATTATATTTATAATATTAAGAAATTATTGGAATAATTGGTCGATAATTATAAAATAGTTAAGATTGATTAACTTTACAATAATCAAAATCATTTTTTGTTAAATTTTAATATATTAGGGATTATGGTCAAACCAAAGCATCATGTTTGGAAACATTTTCAAGAAGTACGCGATGGTAAATCAGTTAAAGCGGTGTGCAAGTTTTGCAAGATGTCCTATATCACCCACGTTGATAGAATGGTCAAACATTTATTAAGCAGCTGTACTATGTGCCCTGTTATAATTAAGGAAAAATTTTATTCAAATTCCAAAATATCAACTTCTACAAAAAATATCACAAATGTAATTTGTAATACTTCTAAGTCTAACTCTAATGAAGAATTGGGTGAAATAAGTGAGAATGATTATCAAATGAACAATATTTTGTCTTGTGACTCAGGAGAATTTGATTCCCTTATTTCTAATCAATCTACAAGCAAGGCGATTAAATATAAATCTCAATCTTGTATAACCGGTTTCATAGATAGAATTAATCCCAAAGAAAAAAATGAGCTGGATCAATTGTTTGCAAAGGCTGTATATGCGAGCAATTTACCTTTCCACATCACTGAAAATCCCTACATCCAAGAATTTTTTAAAAAAATACGTCCTATTTACACATTACCCAGGAGAAGGCAGCTGGCTGGATATCTTCTAGACAAAGCGTCAGGTGATATGGAGGTGAGAGTTGCAGATATAATAGATAAAGCTCCTTACTTATCAATTGTATCAGATGGCTAGAGCAACATTAGAAACGAGAGTATTATTAATTTAATGGTGATGACGCCTGTTCCAGTGTTCTACAAATTTCTAAATACTGAGGAAAATCGCCATACGGCAGATTATATTGCCCAGGAATTTAAAAATGTAATTCATGAATTGAATCCGGTAAAAGTATATTCTTTAGTTACTGATAATGCCGCTAACATAAAAGCAGCCTGGAGAATTCTAAAATCTGAATCTATTTATAATCATATACAATGTTATGGTTGTGCAGCGCATACATTGCAGTTATTCTTTCACGATTTTGAACGATTGGACGCCTTCAGTGACCATATTTCAATAATTAAAAAAATTGTTAAATTTTTCAAGAATAAACACATACCAGCTGCAGTATTTTCCCGTAATAAGAATCTTTATGGCATACCATCTACATTAAGTACAATTAGCCAAACAAGATGGGCATCGTCAATAAAATGTATGGAGCAAATTCAAATATGCAAGAAAGCTCTAAAAGCATCAGTTGTTGAAGAAGCTGTTTGTGATAATTGTCCCATAGAAATTACCAATAATATATTAAACGAAGAATTTTGGACGAAAAATTTAAAATTTTTAGCTATACTCCAACCTTTAGCTACCTCATTGTTGAAAGTGCAAGGGGATAAATGTACTTTGGCCCAAGTAAAAAACGAGATGCTTAATTTGGAAAAACACATAATACAATCATGCCATGATTCTATATTTTCTCCATCTCAAGAAAAAAAAATTAAGGTTATGTTTGAAAAGAGAAAAACTGATATAAATACATGTGCTCACAATGCTGCTATTTATTGGACCCCCAATATCAAGGGGAGCATCTTACTAATACTGAATTTGATGAAGCATGTAATATAATACAAGAATTGGGTATTTTACAAGGTGGTGATAATCAAAATATTTTGAGTAATATAGTAAATTTCAGAAGCAAAAGCGGTATATTTAATAGCCATAATATGTGGAAAGTTGTAACTTCCATAAGAAACAATCAAATTTCGGCCTCAAGTTGGTGGAATGCATTTTGCCCACCTTGCCCATTAAGAGAAGTCGCTAATATTTTACTAACATTTCCAAGTTCGACTTCTTCTTCTGAAAGAAATTGGTCGGTTTGGGGCAATATTCACACGAAAAACAGAAATAGATTAAAGGCTTCTACAGCAGGAAAATTAGTAAGAGTGTATCATTAGGGTTAGGGTTAGGGTTAGGGTTAGGGTAAGATTGATTAAAAATATTAAAGAAAATAATGATATTGAATATGAATCGGAACAAGACTCTGCCACGGAGGGTGAAACATTGACTATAGAATGAATTAAAAAATATTATGATATTTATTATTATACATAGATTTATTATAATATTATATAAATGCAAAATAAAGTTAATATTGGTGTAAAAAACATTTATTTGAATTTGGCCATATTTGACCGTATTTGACCATATTTGACCGGTCAAATATCGGTCAATTGACCGAATTGTATTTGACCGGTCAAATGCACAACCCTGATTTTTTTTATCAAATCAACCTTGTGCATAAATTTTTTTATTAATTCGGCCATGTTTATAGTTGGTAACGATATCTTATTGGTAACCCATATGGATTGGGGACTTAAGGTAAGAGGTCTGCAATTGTCGGGTTTTACCCTACTAGCCAGCCCACTCGTGTTTAATTTTTGTTAACCTTGCCTCCCGTTTCATCCATGGTTTTTTAAGTTTACCCACCCGCTTGTTTAAAAATTTTGTTTAACCCGACCATCCGCCCATTGTTTAAAAATGTTTTAATGGGTTGTTTGGTTTCTTGTTTATATGATTTTATGTATTTTTAATTAAACTTATAAAAAAAAAGATTTTAATTAGAGTCTCTTCTGCTCATATCGCCCAAAAAATATTTAAAATTCATCCACCCATTGCCCGCACATTGTAAAAAGGCTAAAAACCCATCCATTGCAGTTCTCTTCTAGGTCTCAAAAAATACAAATTAAATTAAAAATGGAATAATGTCAAAGGTGATCAAAAGGGTTCACTTTTACCCCTTCTGCCTACAGGGCCTGACTCTCGATTAAGGCAAGATTTTGAGGAAGTGGAACGGCTGGGACGAGGCGGGTTTGGTGACGTAGTCAAAGCTCGAAATTTGATGGATGGACGTGTTTACGCTGTCAAGCGCATACTCGTGCCTCGTGGAGGAGGACGTGGATTTGATAGGAAAATTGCACGAGAAATCAAACTTTTGTCAAGCCTGAACCACGAGAATATCGTTAGGTGAATAATGGTCATTTTCTTAACTTTGTAAATTATCATTTGAAACTTCTTCATGTAAATATTTTAAAAATAAGTTATTAGCTAAAATAATGCTAAAAAATGGCTTATTTAAAATGGACTGATAATTGATTCATTATATTTAAAAAAAAGAAGAATGGAATGAATCAATGAAATCGATTGAAATTCTCTTCATTTTTTATAATGATTTTTGAATTATTCTAGCTTTTTAAGGCATATAAAAGTCATAGTCATAATGCCTTTTTCATTCACTAATGTAAATTATAAAAGCTATTGAGTTTTTTAAAATAAAATAGGATCTTATAAATAAAGTTCTTTTAAAAACCTTTTGACCTTTTAACTTTACATTTATAACCACTGAAACAAATGGTATGCAATTTATAATTAATTTTAATTTAAAAATAAATTAGATATTATAACTCTTGGTTTGAGACATTTGAGTGCCCTAAAACTTCAAGTTATGATACATCGGTCACAAGTACTAATAATGAAAAGACCAAAGATGAAAATAAAGTAAAATTTTATAAAATAATTTTCACATAAATAACTCTTTAATATGTCGAATAAAATATTCGAAATATATTTAGATTTTAAAACATCAAGCGATAATTTAAAAAAAATCGAAAAAACAGGAAAAGTTTCGATAAGAACAAAAAATATTTTATTGTTACATAATTAATTTATAACTATTTTAAAATCTTTAAACTGCTAATTCAATTGGGATTTTTAATCAAAGTTTGAAAAAAAATCTTCAAAAAATTTTTCCTTTTTAAAGAGGAATTTTTTGATCAATTTTTACTGTAAATGGCAAATTCTCTTATAAATATAATCTTTTGTAATTTTCATACATAAAAAAATCTTTCAACATAGAAATCAATAATGAAGTAAGCCATGAAATTTACTAAGTTTGAGGTACTTTCGTCCATCATCAATATCAAAAAGAAACACAAAAGAAATTTTCTAATATTAATAATTTTATTTTATTTATTTCATAATGATTGCAACTTTCTAACTAAAAGATTATCTCTATAAATACTTTTTCAAATACAATTTAGTGAATAAAATTATCAATATTTCACGTGAAAGAATAAATGTTAATATAATGGTTGTGTTAAAAATTTAATAATGAATGAATCAATTAACAATTTATGCTAAACAACACCTATTATAAATAAAATAATTATATATATAAATCCATATTTAACAAATAATTTTAAAAAAATCTTCAAAAATATTTGCTCAAAAATTTTTTTAAGATTTTTTTAAAATTCTGTTTTTTAATGTATAAAGTTTTCTTATTTTTTTATATAGGGTTAAATTATTTAACCATAAAAATAACCTTTTTTTAAAATCATTTATATATATTTATCAGTTCTGGGTTGTCTTTTCCCAGACCTGATACGTATTTTTAAGTTTTAGTAAATATGATTTTTTGGTGCATTGTTTTAACTATCCACTTACTTTTATCTAAAAAAAATTTCCATCATCATACATTAAAAAAAAATTTTTAAAACTTGTTCCTATTCCATCTGGGTAAGGGATAAAGTTAGCCAACTTGGGCAGGCCAAAGGTCTATGGAATAATTTTTATTTTTAGGAAATTAAGATTTCAAGTTTTTATCCATATTTGTTAATGTTTATAGTAATAAACAGTGGTCCGCAGTCTTGGCTTGAGTCGGTAAGCTTGAGACATTACCTCCCCTGGTCTGAGAAGTACATTTGGAACAAGCATAAACTAGAGATGAAAACCTAGGCTGGGCCTATAAAACGGGGTATGGAATCGAGCCGAAAGATATTTCGAATAAAAACAATGTTTACAAAATAATATGCCACCTTACAATAAATATTTTTGAACACATTCGTACCAAACCTGGCAAAATCAAATGTGGGCCTGAACTGCAGGTCTGTGTTTTATTTTGTCATTATGATCTAATAAATATTTATTATTTATTTTATATAGTTAATCCTAGATATATGCGATAGGCATGTTTAAGTCCATAAGCACACCCACTCATTGTTTTAAATTCTAACCCTTCCATCTGTCCATATTTTGAAAAAATTGCCTGTCGGCCTAAAACGAAATATTTGTTATTCGATTTGTTTTTTCAAATAGCACAATTATTCGAATAGAATAATAATAATGGGAAAAATATTTATCAAATAATACGTTTTTTATTATTCGTATTATTTGAAATTAATCGTACCATTCGAAATTATTAATATTATTCGAAATTATGTGTTAATAATCTTTTGTATTCGGAATTTTTTGTAAATATATTATTTTTTCGTTAGTATCGTAAGTAAAATTAAAAGTAATTAAACAAATTTTCTTTCCTAGTGGATGAATATTTTATTTTTAACTTTATTTCATCTACTGCATGATATTTATAATTTGGTTTTGGTAACTAATATAAAGAAGAGTAAAAAGAATGGAGTAAAATAAAACATATTGAATTGTTTATAATTATTTAATTAATTTAATTTTTATAATATTACATTCCATATCAAATCAACCAAGGTTTCAACCAGAGCCCCTTCAATTTTTCTTAAATTTTGTATACTGGTAGTATATACTATAACTAAGAAAAAAATGAAATTTTATTTTCCAGCACTATTTACCCGCTAAGATATGGTCGTTTAAAGCGCGGAAAAATGGTACATTTTTGACAAATGCACCTCATTTATTTTCAAATATCTCGAGAAATAATTAAGTTAGAAAAATAATTTAAATTTTATTTTGTAGCTTAATAAAAGTTCTTTAAAATGACATAAAAATTAATATAATAGACATTTGATTAATATCGAAAATCGGATGTGTAAAACCGGAAATGGCCACAGAAAAAAAGGTATTTTTTTCTGTAGATAGATATCACATTGTTTTATATTTTACAAAATCCTAGACTGGGATGAACATGGGTTTAGGAGTTATCACTTTTTATATGGCTAAAATTGAACAAATTTAACATTAATATCATCATATTTTAATTTAATGAATAATTATTAATTTAAAAATTATGTCTAAATGACAGGCCCTTACTTTTTTTTATCTTTATCAAAATTTTTGAGAAGTGGCTGGAATAATTAGCTTTGTTTAACACTTAGTTAAATTTTGTCTTGAAGTTACTTGAAAAAAAAATTCTAAACATATTTATAACTTTATTTGCCTCAAATTGCATTACATATAATACAATCAATATATCATATATTATAATCATCCAAGGAATTTTAATAAATTATGACCTTTGTTTTCGTCTAGGGGAATAAAAGCTTGGAACTTTGTGTTCCAGAAATTTTCTTTGCTCTCAAAAATCTGCTTCCAAGATGACTTTCTATGTTCATACATTCAATTGCTCACAAATATATAATTTACCCCATAGATATTATTTCTTGTATAGTTAAATAAATCTATTTTTATCAATATGTGATGTTCATATTGACGTTGCAAGCTTGCTCGAGTTCCTAACCGTTTATTAACGGCCCCCAAAATGTCACATGGACGTTTACCTTGTGCGATTTCAAAAAATGTCACTCAGCCTTTATCCCAAAATCATTTTCATGATTGTAGAGATTAATGAAACCTTTTATTTTTATATTGGTTACTGCTCCATCAGAAAAATAATAAATTTTAGCCACTCTCTTAAATCTATCCTTCAAGAATACGATCAATTTTTAAAATAAATAAAATGCACATGCGTTGTGCTTTAAACAATCTGATATAACCACTAAATTTACATGTTTTATTATGTTGTTCTCACGATAATAAATTATAAAAGAGTTGATAGTAGCTTGATTATTATTCTGATTAAATCCTTGTGTATGGTTCTGCACTACAAATGCATAGTTTTCTGAAAAGTCTGCAATAACTAAGAATTCGCCAACATTTAAATTGAATTTTAAAAAGTTTCGAATTTATGATTATCGTGAAGCTATAAACAAATGAGGAATTAAATTGTTTAATTACTCAATTAAATAATCTACAATTTCGTCAGCGGATTTTGTCAGTGTTTCGAGGGTAGTTCGATTAACTGCTATCCATTGTTTGAATGTTTTATAATCTATAGAATTCTCGTCAAAATTAAGCCTTTCTTTTAATTTTGAATATATGGGGGAAAATTTATTGTTGAATTTCAATTTTGGTAGATTATTTTATGCTAAATAAAATATTTAAAATTATTTTGTCATGTAATTTTAATTTCGAGATAAAATTTAACTAAAGTTTTAAATAGCTCATTATCCCAGCCACCTCTCAAATTTTTTTTGTAAAGAAAAAAAAAAATAAGGGCCTATCATTTAGACATAATTTTTAAATTAACATTATTTCATAACTATTCATTAAATTAAAATATGATGATATTAATGTTAAATTTGTTCAATTTTAGCCATATAAAGGGTGATAACTCCTAAAGCCATGTTCATCCCAGTCTAGGATTTTGTACAAATATAAAGCAGTGTGATATCTATCTACAGAAAATTTTTTTGAAAAAATACCTTTTTTTATGGCCATTTCCGGTTTTACACATTCGGTTTTCGATATTAATAAAATGTCCATCATATTTATTTTTATATCATTTTAAAGAACTTTTATTAAGCTACAAAATAAAATTTAAATTATTTTTCTAACTTAATTATCTCGCGATATTTGGAAATAAATGAGGTGCATTTTGTCAAAAATGTACCATTTTTCCGCGCTTTAAACGGCCATATCTTAGCGGGTAAACAGTTTGGGAAGGTAATAATTCATTTTTTTTTAGTTATAGTATATACTACCAGTATACAAAATTTAAGAAAAATTGAAGGGGGTCGGGTTGAAAATCGACTTTTTTTTGTTGATTTGATATGGAATTCACCATATATATTATATTAATTGATTTGTCATTCAGCTATTTCTTAAATTGTTTTTATTTTCTTTACCAGCGAATATAATCTGGATCTGGAATTGAGAAATATCGGTAAGCTAAGCTTTTATAAATTTATTTAATTTTAAATATATTCAAATATATTTTTAATCTTCTTTATATTAGTTAACAAAACCAAACTATAAATATCATGCAGAAGGAATAAAATAAAATAAAATAGGAAGAGAAATTTGAATAATTACTTTTTATTTTTACTTATCTCCGAATATAAATAAATATTTACAAATAACTTCAAGTAGCCAGTCCGAATTTTAATTTTTATTAATTGCTTTGTCCTTATTACGGATAAATTTTAATTACAATTTTATTTTGAATAAACAAGATAAAATATTTATGTTATTTTAAAAAAAATTGCAACATTTTTCAAGCAATCTCGATTTTTAAAATTTTTGGCACGATCTGTCCTAAATATCTTTAGATTATTGGTCCTCGGGTATGGGCCAGGCTTCGACCAAATACAGGGCTTTAATTTATTAATAATATACAATATTTTGAAATAAATTTTACTATGGCAATTGCCCCTGCCCATCCAATATTTTAAACCTGCTCATGTTTAAAAATATTTTTTATCAACCCATTGTTTTTTTTATATTTTACTCTTTGCAAACTTTCTAGTAAACCCTATATATAAAAGCATGTATTACATTTTAATCGAATGTAATTTTTTTTTTACAAGGCTCCACATTCACATGATTCTATCAAGATTGACAGGGATAGCCTATCACTAGAAGTTGAAAGGATGCAATTTCAAAAATTTTCTGTACCTTTTTTAGACGTAAATTATAATGGGTTCCAGCACATCACAAATATCGAAACGCAGAAACAAAATGATTTTTCTTATGAAGATGTGACCAGCTCGCTAGCTTTGTCTTCCTTTTTCAACTATTTTTCCTCTCAGAGTGAAGATGATGAAAATACCTCGTCTATCAGTTCCATTGAAGGACTAAAGTTTGACGATATTAACACTAAATCCAAAACCAATTTGAGTGACAATGATGTTCACAATGATAGTTGCGATAAGTCAGCACAGGATAACCTTGCGAGCTGTGACACTTTTAGAGAGGTTCCGCTGTTTCAGAGGTTTATATGCATTCAGATGGAATACTGCGAAAAAAGTACCCTGCGTAACGCCATAGATCGCAATAAATTGTATGAGCAACCTCAAAGGGCTTGGAGATACTTTAGGGAAACAGTTGAAGGTTTGGATTTATTCCTAGATTTTGTTTTGCAAATTAATGCAATTAAAATACACCCATGGATTAGATCATCATTAAAAAATATTTATGTTTTAATTAAAAAAATTTTATATTGTTTATAATTTATATCTCCTCTTCAAGGGTTGGTATATTTGCATGAACAAGGCATTGTTCACCGAGATTTAAAGCCAGTCAATATATTTCTCGATTCCAAGGATAGGATCAAAATTGGTGATTTTGGTCTAGCTATTGGTCAACAAATATATATACAAGAAAAACTTTTAGATAGTAAATAAAATTAATCTTTTTTGTTGAACTAGACAAATTTATATGAGTAGTTTTATTTTAGGCTGTGTCCTAAATCTAAAAAAATATAAATAAATTCATCGAAAAGCTTTTTTTAATGTAAAATAAAACAGTGTTCTAAATCATTTTTGTCATTTACATTTATTTTAAAAATAATAGAAATTAATAAATTTTTGGGGGTATATTTTATGAAAAACTAGTAAATAATATTAAAATATGTTATTTTTCATATTTTATTCTCGTTTTTGGTTTTTGGGTTATTTTTTTTTGTTTGTAAAAAAATAATGGAAGATTTCGGAACATGTTTTATAATTTTATTAATTTTAGAAAATTTATAAATTTGGAGGTTTTTTTCAAAACATTTAGGACACAACCTTAACTAAGTTTTATATTGATTTCTTAAGTATTTAATTTTTTTTGCCTGATATTAACTACTTCATTTGATTATTATTCTCAATTTTTAAATATATTTGTGAAAATCAATTGAAATATACAAAGGTACTCAAAACAGTTTAACATTCGATAAAAGAGTTGATGAATGTGTTGTCAATGGTCATGCTAGTAGCGGAAGCAAAGTAGTAGGTGAGCGTTTAGCATTATTTTCCTAATTAAGGTCAATGGGTCAGACTAAGGTCCGGATGGGACCGAGTTTGAAAAACGGTTTATGAGCCAGTTCTTAGCTTTTAATAAACAATTTTGAATGGAGAATATTTTTTCAGAAAGTATATTTTTTTTATTGAAGCTAAAAAAAAGTAATCTCTAATTATATTAAAATATTTAAAACACTCTAGTTTTTAATTTTTTAAAATGCATCATAGGTACAGCTCTTTACATGGCCCCTGAAATTACCCACTCTCTCCATGGGGGCCGCAAGGATTCTTTGGCCGTCGCTTTCAAATACGATCAAAAGGTAGATATATATTCTCTTGGACTCGTGTGCTTCGAGATATGGGGTCCCCATTTTGGTACCAGCATGGAAAGGATCAAAGTCCTCAACGGGCTTCGCCAGCAGGAAATTAAATTTCCACCTGGGTTTGAACACGAATTCGTTATTCAAGTTTATTCCTAACTCACGCCATATTTTCTAAAACGAGCTATCTGGCCTAATAATTGAAATATATATTATATAATCAGCTGATTTGCAAAAATATTTATTGGGCGCATGTATATTTTTTAAACTGGGTACAGTAACAATTTTTTATTGTTTTTAGCTTAGACTATTTTGATCAACAAGGTTTTTTTTAAAAATCGAAGCATGAACATCGATATATTTTCACCTATAAAAGAACCTTCAATTATTAATAGTATTTTAAAGTCATTCCAATTTTCAAGCAATTATATTTAAAAGGTTTCTCACCAAAACTCAAAACCTAAAAGCGGAAAACTCAAATTAATATGCTATATCTTTTACCGTGAAATTATAAACATACAAAATAATACCTTATGTTTTTCTTTTTAAAAGGATTTTCATACATAAGTTTATGAAAGCTATGAATTAGTTTACTAAAAAGAAATTAAAATTATATATATATCAAAACAGATGAACTCAATCATTCTGTCTTTATTTTTATTATATCAAAATCATTTATTTCATAAATTAAAAGAAATATAAAATTCATATCAAAAAAGAAAAGAATAGCCTGATAATTCACATTTCATTTTATGTTCTTTTTTTTTTTAAATTAATTTTTTTTTAAAATTCGTGATTGACATTTTCATAAAAAAATATTTCTATAATTGAACAAATATTAATACAAAACTAGGACATTTACAACATATTTTTATTATGTAAATTTATATATTATTCACTCATTTCTCGAAAAGTCGGACATAATTCGCTGGCTCTTATGCCATGACCCGCTAAAGCGCCCGACTTCAAAACAACTACTCATGTCCGGCAGATTACCACCGCTCGAACTCGAAGAATTACAAATGGATTTGCTGCTCCGTCGAGCTCTAGCGAACCACAAATCATTTTCTTCTTCCCTCGCTTTACGCAAAATACTTGTTGGGTTATTTGATCCCTATCGATTTCCTGGTTTTGCAGCTGATTTTGCTTACGATTGTAGTTCAGAATCTTTTAGATCAAGATCGGCTCCAGTGGGTAGAGCTAACAACAGTGCGAATGATAGGAATAGTTCAAACATAGTCTCTACCGGGCTTGATAATATTTTTAACGATTTCAATAGCAAACAACTGGAATCTTATTTTCAAGATCTTAAGCACACTCACGTGGTCGATAATGTTTTAAGGAGCCTGCGAGGAATATTCGAGAAATACGGAGCAGTATCGCTCGCAGTGTCCTTGCTTATACCACCGTTAAAAATATATTTTAAATTATCCTTAAATGCAGTGTTAAACGTCACTTTCAAAAGTAGCATCTAACGCTAAGCTTAAAAATAACGCGCTATTAGATCGTACAATATTTTTTAAAAATATAAAACTAGAAAAAAAATAAACTCTTTATTATTACAATTTAAATATTTTGTTTATTTTCATCCTAAAATTAAATATTGTTCATTTCAATTTTCATATTCTAATTTAAAACCATTTTTTATTCAATAATTTATGGTAATTGTTAAGTAATCTTATTTTTTAAGAAACTTTCTAAAATAGGAATTCAAACATTAGACGTAATATATCAATATAATATGAATAGATTGTACAATATTTAAAAAAAATTTATAAAATAAGAAAAAATAAATAAAATTTTCATATCTTTAAAATTAAATATTGTTCATTTTAATTTTCATATTCTAATTTAAAACCATTTTTTATTCAATAATTTATGGTAATTGTTGAGTAATCTTATTTTTTAAGAAACTTTCTAAAATAGGAATTCAAACATTAGACGTAATATATCAATATAATATGAATAGATTGTACAATATTTAAAAAATTTTTATAAAATAAGAAAAAATAAATAAAATTTTCATATCTTTAAAATTAAATATTGTTCATTTTAATTTTCATATTCTAATTTAAAACCATTTTTTATTCGATATTTAAGGTAATTGTTGAGTAATAATAATCTTATTTTTTAAGAAATTCATTTTCTAAATGGTAAAATCCCTCTCTTTGGTCTTTCTTGAAAATGAGACGTGTCAGATGCTTTACCGAAATCTGCTAATTTTTAAAAACTGTATCCGGTCCCATTGATGGGCGTTTAACCTTCTATAAATATTAATTAACATTGATAAATTAAATTTCACTTCTCCAATCTAACATTATATATACTATAATGTCCATGACATTGTAAGTCAACATATTATGAAATAAAATAATAAAAAGGAGTCAAGCTTTATTTTGCGACACCACCTTTTCTTCCCGTGCAGTAATACTTTTAGACCGATCAGGAGGATTGATATCGCTATTCCCTGATTCGCGTTCCGCGTTTGCTCGTCACGTAGCCTATAACGAGATTACTTGTTTAAAACGATATCATGTGGACACTGTTCACGCCGTCGAGAACAATCGCCTGCTTTTGGCCTACACTCATCCACAAGGTTGATTTTAATAACCAATTGAACACCATTAATGTAAGAAAATTATAAGAGACAGCTTATATAAGTTTTTATAAATTGTAATCTTCCTTATATAGCTACCACACTTCTTTTTGCGACCATATTTTATTAAAAAATGTTATATCGGTCTGTTTACTATATAAGATTGTAATATAGGTAAGGAATATTAAATTAATGTAAAATAAATTTGACAAAATTATTTTTATTTAAATTTCTTTAAACAAGGAATTTAAAAAATAATTAATCCACAATTCATACACCAGGTGTCAGAGAGATCAATTTCGATATCGTAACGCCTGCCGTTAAATTTGGGCTCCTTGCACAAGCGGAATGTTTATTCGTATGTAAAGAGCTTATGGGAAAATTTCCGGAGATAAAAGTATCATAATAATTTATAAATTTGATCTCAAATAAACTGGTGGGACTGGTGATAACAAATGTTTCGTACATTTTTCAATTAAAGTATTAAACTCATTTTTCTGTTTGAGTTAATCTAAGGCTTGAATCGATAACCAAACTGAATCTTGGTTTATTTATTAATGCAAATCGCCCGTGTTTGGTCAAATTTGAAATTAATATCGTTCTCTTTTATATTCCTAATTTTTCGAAATCTAAATTGTTCAATAAAACATAAAATCGGGAGCAAATATTAAATATTCTCGATTGTATAATCACGCAAATTTCGCTGGTATATTCAACCCTATATTTTATTTATATATATATAATTTTTTTATTAAAAATTTACTACATTCTTGATTTTATTCCAGATTCTAATTTCAACATATTTAATAGTGTAAAAATTACAAAATCTATCTGAGCCACACATCTTTCGTCCGGGCACTCATGGCTCATTTTGATGTTCCTGAATCTCGCCGAGCTCCAGTTCGTGAACTCTTAACAACTATTCGTAGACGATTAGCTAGCGATAATTCAGCCAATCAAGTTTATTATACTATCTTCATCTTTCCCTATCCTTATAAAACTTTCGTTAACATCTTTCAAAAATATTCTAAATTTAAAAACAAACATATTGAAATAAATATTTTTATAAAATGTTGCGTTGTTAGCACTATAAAAAAATGTTTCTTTATAGATATTTAGGATTATAAATATATAATTTTTTTGGCCATTATATACAGTTTAATATTTTGTATAGAATGTAAGTTTAATATTAAAATAGAAAATACTTAATTATGGTTTATTATTTCTAAAATTAATGAAACTTTTATATGCAACCTATTTTCCCTATTTAAAAGGTTCATTTATATCGAGTATTATTTTGCAAATTTCGCGAATTAATAAGTACCCACAACATCAATCAAAATCAAGTCATAAATCACAAGATTATGAAAGGAGAAAGTGAGGAGGCAGATATGAAGAAATTTGAAGGACTAACACAACTCTTGGACTCTCAGTTTGATAATCTGGAGGAGCTTGAGACAGAATTGAGTTTGATGATTATTTATACATTTACCTTTTCTCGAAATAAGGAACTTATTAAATCTGATTTTTTAAAATATTCTAATTAGCTTTCATTATTTTTTTAAAATGATCTGTTCACTTCCAATTTCAATTTTTCTTATTCTCTTTTCACCATTGATTTTTTAATTTATTTAACCAAAGTTATCAACAACCTTCTATAAGTTTTCTAAATGAGTAGATAGATTTTTGAAACCATTTGAGCACCAATTATCATTTCTTCAAATAAAAATTCTATTTTATATATTTTTACTTTTAATGTCATTTTTTCCAAGATACACTTCTTTCTGTCGGATATCACATTATTTTACCATTACTATAATGTTTTAAACTCATAAATTTACGTATTTACTCTCTTTACAACTATAGTCATTATTGAAAATAACATAACCTAAAATAATATTGGAAGAATAACACCACCTTTTATAATTTAAGAAATCACGCTTCTAAAGATCTTAGAATAGTAACTATTAACCCGTTAAAGTCCTGTGAGCTAATTTGACATCATCTTATTGAATGTTATTTTTTAACGTTTAAAACCACTCAACGATTTAATTTAACATTTTTAAATAAATATACAAATGTATTCAATCGTATTTTATCAATAATAAAAAAAATATGCTTTTGTTTTTATTTTATTATCATGTAAATTTTGACTATATTTCCGTTTCGATTTTTTCTGAATTACTTGATTTTACATATTATTTAAATATATTTTAATTGAAAAATTTTGAAAACTATTTATTTTATAAAGAAGACAAAATATTCAAATATGTTATCATGAATTTATATTTTTTTAGATTTTAAATTATTTTTATAAATATAATTTTAAAGTTATGATGCCAAGTTAACTCATTGGGAATTTAATAAGTTATTTTATTAACATTGAATACATTTTATTTTTTATAGATGTCAAATAAAATAATTATAATTGAAGGTGATATTTCGGAAACAGATATTGATAATAGTGAGGATAATTTTAATCATCCTATTGACAATATAGATATAGATTCGCCCATAAATGCACTCCACATAGAACTTGATAATGTTCATGAATGTCCTAGTTTTTCTAGTCTCAGTAGTAATTGGGTATTAAAAAATATTGAATCATTTGATACAACATTTTCTAAAAAAATATCCCCCAAATAATATTCCAACACCATATCACTTTGAATAATATTTCATTTGAGATACCTACATTGTGAAAGCATGGTTATTGTATCGAAGACATTACTTCAAAAAAATGAAAAATCTTTTATAAAACTTATAACATTTAAATCTCAAATAGTTCCTGCCTTGTTAATGTAAAATTAGTAAAAGAAAAATAGGGAGACCATCAAATGAAAATCCTAAAATACAAAAAGGATCTAAGTTACCTCAGATAATAACTGAGGTTAGATATGATAATTTAGGGCATTGGCCAGAAGTTTCTAAGACTCGAAAAAGGTGTAAATTATGTGTTATCGCATATTTAAGGACTATGTGTGAAAAAATTTATGCTATAACTAGGAAATAAATTTTTAAAATTTTTTCATAATATATAAATAAATATTTTTTTATATACATCCATTTCGCTCAATGATGCCAAATTGTATCATGATTTTTTTTTTACCTGTATACTATGAAATAAAAGTCGAAATAAAATTTTTACATCCTTGATGTTATTAATGAAGATTTTTTATAAAAAAATTTTTTAGTTTTATTTTAAAAAGTCGAGCTTTATAGGGTTAAAATTGTTTTAATGATAATACATTTTTTTTTATATAGTAATATATAAATATATATTTTTGAGATATTTCTATAACAGTAATTTTGTTTAACTATATAGAAAAATCGTTTCTAAAAAGTTTTTTTAAATTTAATTATTTTTAATAATAAAATTTATTTCGATTTTTGACTCTTTAACTTACAAAAGCTTCCAAAATCAAAACTAAGAAGGGAACGCTTGTTGATACCTTACTCAATACTGCACTCTGCGATTTAAAAGGCACGTTACGTTTACTACAGGCCATGACGGCAACTGGAAACTTGCCCTCCATGTCCTATGTATTTTCTCTTCCGGATTCTTACATATCGCGTAATGCCTCTTCCTTCAAAGGTAATTTTGCTGTCATCATTTTTTCTTATGATCGACCATAACAGTTTATTATAATAAAATATTTTAACAATTTTTTTATTCAACATAGTTTAATGACGGAAAAGCTTATAATTTCGTTATGTTGGCTTTTTATCTTTAAAACTTCTTTTTCTTTATTAATTTAGTCACATTGATCCTTTTTAATTTGATTAAATATTCGTTTGTTTTAATTTATTACTTTGAAATAGGATTTTTATTATTATTAACTTTCATCTTCAGTCGAAGATCAAATGAAAGAAGGGGATGAATGCTTACCTTATTCGGGCTTAGTTTTTGTTGTTGGAGTAATTAAGAAATCTAAATCATATGGCGATAAAACGTTAAAAACAAAGGTTGCCGCTGGAGGAGCAGGGAATAACAAAAAAGTGATGTTTCCAAGGTCACTTGACGTCTTAGCTACAGGTTTATATATTTTAGATTAATTCTTTTAAAATGAGTTTGAGATCATTATATTCATTTGAACAATGTTAATTTACATATATATTTAAAAGGCGGTAGATACGACTTGTTAATCAGAGCCTTCCAATTTCACCAACAATGTCTGACGAATGAAATGTTCACCCACAAACGCAAATCCACATCATTCCATACCACAAATACTCCAAATAGCACAGAGACCAAACCCTCGAAACTTCCCTCTACTGCCATTTTAGCTTACAATCTAGAGGACACTGAAGAGATTTTGCGATTCGAAAAATGTCCCCATGGTGTGGGATTTAGTCTTAATTTCGATAAGCTGATAAAACTCAAGAAACAAATATTCGACAATAACGAAAAATGCGAGGAAGATCGCAACAAAATTGGCTTATCAAATTTTCAAAAAGGAAATAAATCGACCGGTTGTTATTTGGACTTTTTGGTGGTCATAATGAGAAATCCTGAATTACTCGAACGGTTTTTTCAAGTTTTTGGGAGCAATGATCACCTTGTAATTATTTTATTTTAGTGTAGACAGTAATATAGAAGATTTTATGTTCCTTCATAGTTTTTCCTTATTATAATTTTCAGTGAATAGAATCAATTTTTCGTTTTAAAAGCCATATATTTCATTTTTTAAAAAACCTTAATTTTATGTCGCTAACGTTAATTTTCAAAAGTAGCTAGACCCTATTTTTTTAAAAGATGTTATCACATGACATTTAATATATTAACAAAAGCAGTTGTAAGAAAATAATAATCATATTATTTATTGTATAATGGAATAGAATCACCATCTCCTAGGCGAGTTATAGAAACCAACATGAGACTGATGTCAGGAAGGGCATCTTATATATAGTAAAAATTTTGGTTCAATACCTTCCATGAGCACAACGAAATTATTTATCATATAAAAAAATTTGTCAAGGAGATTTTATTACAGTATATAATTAGTATCTATTTTATTCACTATAATATTTTATTAAAATTGTATGGGTAATTTAATTCAAACACATTTTTTTAATATATGATTGGAGGAAAGAATTACAAACACGATTTATTTAAAAAAAATAAAAAATTAATCAAAAACTTATTATTTTAGATATAATGGAATAAAAAATTTAAATGTAAATAGTTATACTTATAGTTATATTCCCCAAAATGTAACTAGTTACAGGTTAAGGTTACCTTAACAATTCTAATTACTTACATTTGATTAAACATAAAAGAATGAAACTGAAGCTATCGATAAAAATAAATGGAGGCATAAGACTAAGAGACGAACTCGACAAGCTAATAGAAACTCACCGGGTCAACAAAAACTTAGAGATCAAGCAGAATCCCCTTTAGGCATAACATTAGCGTCCTTGAATAAATTGATTGAAGATGAATTAATATTCCCTAGCTTAGCTAAGATCTTTAAAAGCATATGGGAACATGGATACAGATCAAATTACTTATACGACGAAATAAGGGTAAAAACAGTTATAAATTATTTGATCGAAATCATCTTGTTATATGTAAAGTCAAATGTTAATTTAAAAAAAGTTAGTTTTTTATCATATTAGATATTCATGATTTGCAACAATATTAAAATTTATAAACTTTAATCATTTTTTTTCAAAAATTATGTATCAAGTAACCTTCTATCTTAACATTTAACGTATATCGCCAACCCATAAGATACATTTATTATTGCTTTTATGTTTAAGATGTCTTCTTAAAATTCTTTTTTTATAACCTTCTAGAATATGGACGAAGCTGACAATCTCTTCCAAAATATATCTACTGATGTTAATTATCTTCTTATATTATCTTGCGATTTTTCTGATTCTACTCTTACAACGCTCATTAAAACCAAAAACGCCTTATCACCCAAAGTTCAGAATAACAATGGCCTCGATAAATTTTTGGATGAAAACATCGAGTCTCAACAATCTCCCTCTGTCATTTTGTTGACCACCATTCTCAAACCACCTTCATCCAATCTAAGAGAAGAACATCATATGACGCTTTCTGGGTTCGATAGTTTTTGCCATCAGCACAGACGGTCGTTCACTCAACACCCTGGGGATGCTAACACTGTTAACCAATCATCTGGTCCTCCACCTATACCTATGAGCATCAGTGAACCCCCAATCCTTCAATCGCGTTATTTGTCTATGTCAACCTTTTCTTCCCTCATCAACATCACTTTCATGACTGACGGTGAAAAGTTAAGCGCTTTCGCAAAACGCAAACACGAAAGTCAAATTATAGCTAAATTGTACAACAGTTCACCCCTTCCTCGATTACTATCGACTGTCATTCCTCTTGGAAGCCCATTAACATCTGTTGACTTTGCGAATAATCCTAATAATTCAAACACAAATAACATAGAACGGTCGACACATAATATTTCTTCAACCAACACAAATATATTGTCTTTGTTTGATCATAATTCAGCCCATCATAACTTTATCAAAGTGTTGGCTTTAGAATTACCTGGAATTGTTCTTAAGACGGTTTGCGCATATTATGATTTTAGTTCACACAATTTTATTTCAGAAATTTCAGCATCGGAAAATATGTGCGCAGTTTACGAAAAACACCCTAAATATCGTAAATATTTGCTCAAAATAACGGAACATTTAGATAAGCTGAAAAATTGTGGTATTGGTAGCAACATTAACGAAAAAAGTTCTCAACCTTTATCACACACTCAGCAACAACATCTTTTCATATTATATTCCTATAAAGATAATGTTTATAGAATATTATCGTAGCTAGATAGACCTTAATTATTTTACTATAGTTTTAAAGGGTATTTATTGTTAAAGGTTATTTATAAAATATTAGCAATTATGATGGGTTAGTTGTAAATTACTAATGAAAGATGATTTATCACTAGAAATATACTCTCAAAAATGATTATTTCTAATTTAAAAAAATAGCTAGAGCAGTATTGTTATTATCACTAGAAATATACTTTCAAAAATGATTATTTCTAATTTAAAAAAATAGCGAGAGCAGTATTGTTAAATATACTCGTATTTACATTTATTATATATATATTGTATATATTATTGCCAAATTAAGATAGAATATTTAAAAAATATTTATATAAAAAAATGGTCATTATTTTACGAAAAAAGGAAGCTAGGAATCACCTGAGCTTAATTCCCCGTCAGAATTGAAATTTTCTACTGGAGTAACCTTTAAGTTTATAACAAAAAACATTCAAATATATTAAAATTATCGGTACTAAATAATTTAAAAAAGGAATCAGTTAAATGCAATTTAAATTTTTGATAAAATAAGGTTAGCGATTATTAAGATAAAACCTCTTATTGGATGTGTCCAAAATCATTTTAAAAAATTCGAAAGCTCAAAATTTAACGAAATTGTATGCTAAATTTTTTAGTATTTTATACATGCATTTAATTTATTTAAAATACCTTATTTATTTTCATTAAAAATTTTCGAACGTTTTTAATGTTTTGGTGTTAGAATTTAAAAAAATTATTATTTTATTCAAAGGAAATGCCTTATATTAAAAAAACAAATACAATATTAACTTTATCCTTAGAGCTTTGTTTTGCATTGCGAATAAAGTTGGGAGGCGATTGGGAATCTCGTGCTTCTATGACATTTTCTCCATTATTTGACTTATTAAAATATATTATTTCAAATTTTTCACAATTATTTCTTATTCTGTAAAAAAAAAGAGAGTAGACATCAGTGGGTTAGAAATCTAACATTTTCAATATATCTTATTTGGAGTATGTATTATTTAAAAATTAGAATACTTTTCCTAATTGTTTGTTATCTCAGAATAACTTAAAAATGCGAAAAAATATTTATTTGGAATAAATCATAACCTGATTGCCTAAATTTTTGATGGTTAGAATCTCTAAACTGTGAGGACTTTCTTCATCCATCATTTCGCCCTCTTCTAAAGATTCTCTATTCTGGGTAAGTATTAAATAAAAAGTCAAAGGCGATATAAGTTAGGCATTAATTTAAGAAAGATAAGGAGAATAAAAAAATGCAAAAGCAGGAAAGGGTAACAAAATATATCTAATTTGTGAATATATTGTTACAAAATTTTTATCTCCACGTTCATTTGCTTGGCATTTGTTATCATCCATAGGTTGATTTTGATTGTCAAGACCTCTGTAACGACCTTTCTTGTTCTTCTTTATAAACACGACATCTAAAAAAATATTTTTTTACAGTAAATTAAAATTGATCCAAATCTGTTTTTGCGACGGGTAACAAGAATATTTTCAACAAATATTAGGGAATTCCGAAAAAATATTTGGTTTAAAAAATGCTGGAAAATAAGAAATAGCTGATATTAAAAGAGGCAGAGAACGCGCAACTAAACAAAATATAAACGAAAAGAAATGCAAATATTGTTATTAATCTTTTTTTGAAAGTGAAAAAATTGTTATGAAATAAAATATCTGAAAAAACTATAACTGACTATAAAAATGTTTAAAAAAGGGTATGCAAAGACAAATAAACTTTATCAAACAATTCTTTCAATGTATAAATAACAATTTTATAAGCATGTGTTAAGATTCATAATAAAACATAAAATTTCCTTTATAATTAATCCCTAAGTATAACAATTTACACATAAAAATAATCATTCTTTCTACAAATATAATGCTATAACCATAAATTTTCATTGGTGAAGAAGGAACATTTTGCATAAGATAATTCGTAATCGATATATTCAAATGATTTTATTGACCTTTTTTCAGTTAACTTTTTTACTTGCATATTTATTCAAATTTTAATTAATTAGTTAATACATTTATCTAAAAAATGTATAAATATACTCGGTATTTTGTATAAATTATTTTTAAGAAATGCTAAGTTGTTTTTTTTTAAAATTTATCACAAAAAATTTAATAAAAAATATGAATAGTGTGATATTATTTATTGTTATACGTTGAAATTAATTTAGAGTTAAAAATAATTTGCGATAAAATTCAGAAAAGGTGTGAAAAATTTATACAAATAGTTCAAAACTTATTTTTATTGATATTTAAAAACCAATTATTGGATTAGAATAATTGTTTAATCTTATTCGAACGAATTGATAATGTACTATTCAACTTGTTTTTAGATAGTCATAATATTTAGCATATTATATAATTTTGTTAAATAAATTGTTGTAAATGACTCCGTTTAGGGACAAGATATCATTTTAAGGATAATGGCCCAATTCAGTAGTTAGGGCCTAGTTCACTACAATTCTAAGAGCGATAATATGTTCCAATTATAAAATTAAAAAAATATATACTAGGTTTGGCTTCTATTTTAAGCGGGGATGTTTCATCTGACCCCAGTTCAGTGATAACAGGTTCAGTTACTCCGGTTTGCAGTGGAGAAGAGCTGCTATCTTGTTCAGACTAAAATATAAATAATATTTTATTTAAAATTGAAACGCACTAGATAGTATTAATTATAAGTCATTTTGATATGTGTATTATAGTGTTTCCTAGTAACCCTACTATCATCTATATCCAAATCATGCTCTTCATTTTTCTTATAGCTCAAAAAAGTTGGAAAAATTTAGGCGTATTTCAATTTTATTAATAACCCATTCCTCTCATTTATACAGAATCTTTCTTTTTACCTATAATCCAAAAAATTGGAATATCTAAATATGCTTGCTGTGACAACCGTTTTTAAAAAAATTATAAAAATCCTCAAGATTACTCAAACCGATTTGCCCCCCTCCCCCTATACGTAAGCTGATTCTTATTTTGTTACCTAGAAAACGCTCAACTGATTTTTAATAAAATTATATAAATTAAACAATAATTTTAACAGAAAAATAATATTACGATAGTAACTTGATTAATTATATTCTTACAAATTTATAAATACTTATCACAAATTGTTATCCTATAATTAAAAATTTTGGACATATAATTCGATTTATATTTGCCCAAGAATTTATTATAAAAAAATTAGTTGAAGGATAACATTCCTAAATTATATAATTTTAATCTCACCCTTAACCCAATCATGCCTTAAAATAGTAAATAAATATAAAAATAAGTATATGACATTTGACATACCGATTCGTTTGATGGAACGTTGGGGGAAGAGTCTACCTTATCTTTTTTGTGATGTTTAGAAGATTTCTTGCGATTTTTTTTGGAGGAATGACGGTGTCCGCAAGTATCCTTTATGATAAATAATGATATCACGAGATATATATAATTATAAAATAATACAATTACAATGTTTTCATTTATTCGTAAGATTTTTTAAAAAAAAATTAATTTATACCAAAATTATATTAATTTTTTAAAACACGACCAATTTCTATAGGAGAGAGGGAATTCTTATTTGAGAACGTGGACTTCAGCCCACTCTATTCGAAAAAAAAACTTAAAAAGATCTTACAGCATGATCTTTTAAGATTATTTGTTCCATTGTTTTAAAGTTAAAAAGAGAGAAATAAACAAGGGGATAATAAATAGTTAACCCGGGTCTCATGGAGGTATCGGAGGAATAGACGATAGCGTTCGGATTCGAGGGGTACACCCTCCAGAGCGGCCTTTTGATTTTCCAAGAGGAGAGGTCTGATGCGTGTACGCCATACCGTTTCAGGTTCACTTACATCCAACGCGGCTTCTTCCAGTTCAAGCTCAACGTCGGCATCATCTGATGCAATGTGGCTCATGGCAGTCAAGAAAGCGCCCTCGGCTCGCTTTGCCAACCTGCTCTCCATTTTAGCACTTTCACGTTTACGTGTACGAGCTTTTGCCGCCATCTATAGATTTTTCAAAAAGAATATGATTTAAAATAAATTTTCGAATTCTCTAAATTAATAAAAGTTAAGAAAATATTCATTTTTTAATAAAAAATGATAGGATTGTATATATTCATTAATATATTTTTATGAAATTAATGATAGCTCTTTGTTATTTTAAAATTAAAAATGTATATTATTATTAGAATATTCATTTTTATATTAACATTATCATATGCTAGTTTAATATTTCCAATGTCGAGCGTGATGTGTCTTTCGTCCTGGAGTAATATGGCGCAAAATTGGTCGTATGTAGTTTCCGGTTCCATTGTGAATTTGTGGTCCTTGCATAAAATAATGTTATAATGCGTTAAATTTTATTTTAATTTTTATACATTACGATAAAGATTTTTTATTTCTTTCCTTAGCATAAAAATTACCTTCAATATATCCTTGATAAGCTTTTTCTCCTCAAAAAATCGAGCTTTCAGGTCTTCTACGTAAAACTTAAATAGGTCTAATGGAGTTGAACCTGTTTTATATAGGAATTAAGTAATTTATGTATATTTTTAAATTTTTTGTTAGCAGAATAGCAGTGCGAGATTAACGTTTTCTAATTATAGCAAAAAATAGGTGTTTTTTAAACATTTATATGCACCATTATGATTAATATAAGTGCATATAAATACTAAAGACAGTAGTGTCTAACTCGTATTTAATGAATATTTCCACTAAAAGGAGGACATTATTTCAATGTCGTTGGGCGATAAATTTTGTTCTCGATAAGAAAAATTTCAATATTGCATTCGAAAAATATTTCAATTCCAAATCATTTAATAAGCGCAGGGCGAATATTAAATTTTAAAAATCTAATGTAAATAAACGCGTTTATTCGAAGAAAAAACATGGTGAACTTTTAAGCGAAATCCCAAATAAGACATTTATAACTAAATCCATTTAAAAAAATTATATTAAATAATGTATATTAAATGATTCTTAAACTCAATAATAGAACATAAAATAATGATTTTATTGCTATGCAACAAAAACTGAAAATGCCAAATAAAGCACTTAAATGTCAAGCTGGCGCTGTATGGATATAAGAGTAAAATATTAAAATTATTGTACCAGGTTGCAATAGCATTTCAGAATATCTAGGATCAGCGCTAATAATGGGATAAAGATCGACCCACTGAGACATAGAATTCAATTTTCCCTTTTCATGCAATTCGTCCATCAAAACCTGAAAATAAAAAGTCGCAAAAATAAAATGATTCACTAAAAAAATATCGGTATTTTATTATTGCGAATTTTAACAATTAAGAAAACACTACCCAAATCCAAACATTTATAGGGCAAGAAAATGTAGGCATTAATACTTATTAATTATAAATTATTTAGAGTCAAAATGCAGCGTGTTTGTTAACAGGGATGTGAACCCTTTTACAAAAAAAGGTCTGATTTCAGAAAATTTTAAAAAAGAGTTCGGGTCCTGGACGAGTTTGGATAACATAAAGAAATATTGACTTAATATTATAACTTTTTTCATTTATTTATTTGTTTTACAGTCCACATACATAATTTCAATATTCAATAAAAGGTATCATTTTTTTATTGTGTCCTGTTTGCAATTATTCTGATGTTATAAAATTATTCCCCAATAATCTGTCAACCTTCCTGAGTTTTGCTTAGTTTTTACCCAATTCTTGCTTGGTAAACTTAGTTATAACCAGGAAAGTAATAATTTAGCGAATTTATCAATAATAAATTTAGCAAATTTAATGTTCTTCTTATTATAAGCCTGCTGCTCATTTTTAACTCTTCCGCCCTATTTTTTAAACCTGCTGGCTCATTTATATAACAATTTTTTTGTTTCACCCTTTCCATGTTTAACAATATTTGATTGGTTGGTTTGTTGGCTCCTCATTTTATATTAAAAATATTTTTACTTAAACTTATTAAATATGTAATATTCTGGTATTAAAAATTAATTTAATAAATGGAAACCAGGACTGCTTATTTCACTCATAAAATTTTTAAAATTATTCACCTGCCGGTTGTTTTAAAAAGGTTTACCAGTCCGCCAAATATAAAATCCCCCACCCCTCGCCAAAATTTAAGAATAAATAAAATAAATTCCTCGTAAAAATGTATTTTAGATTACAATAATCAAGTTATTAAAGATAAGTAGGCTATCATTAATGCAACTGTAATCCTATCGCTGAAATTTTTATGTGTCGACAAATATTATAAATCGACCGAAATGCAAGAATATTAGAAAGGTAAACTATTCTCCGATTATATGAAACAGAATGATTCTCATATGCCATCATATACTATACTTCTACTCTATAAGTTAATTAATCGGAATTAAAGTCAAAAAAAAGGCAAGGTAATAAAGATATAGTTCTGATCATATTAGTTTACAATCATTGCTTCTCGTTTCTTCCGATGCAATCTCTTGGTAGCTTTTTTCTCCAGTTCCTTTTCTTCCTCCCATTCCTTCTCCAGCTGTCTAATGTGTTCTTGAAAGCATAAAAGAGCATCTTCTTTATCCATTTCTATAATGTAAATTAAAATAAAGTATTTTAATATTTTATAATTTTTCAAAATTTCTTTTTATAAAAATAATAATATCGTCGATTTTAAATAAAGTGCTATTATTGTATTAATCCAAAATTGACAAATCTTGCTTTCAAAGCCAATTCGTAATTTTTTACATTGGTAAAGTTTAAAAAATAAAATTACTATAAAGTGTAAACAGAGCATTAGCGAGAGACAAATAGCTAATTGAAAAAAAGAAAAAGGTAAATAACATACGTTGAAGTTCTAAATCTTTCTGGAAACCGGTGTGATTCATAAGCATCTGTTGGCACTGGGCCCAAGTGGTGACGTCATCTAAATCCGCCATATTTTCTAGAATATTTTTAAGGGCCTTAATATTTCTTTTCCGAAGAAGTTTATTTTCTTCCTAAACAAAAATATTATTTTTAAAAATTAAACAATATAAAATTTTAGAATTCGTGAATGTAAAATATATTATATCCAAAAAATTTGTAATTATATTTAAAAGTTTATAGAATAGTGAGATAATATCGTTCATAATCTATTCTAATTATATAAATAATGTATCCTTGCGATATTATAAAAATCAAGAGAAATCGTCAATCTTTTCAATCATAAAATAATTAATAATATTAAAATCCCCCATGCTGATTTTTCGAAAGAGATTTTGAATTATGTACCATTAGCAATAGGCTGATCTGCTCATTTTCACGTAGAGTTAAATAAGATAGATATGTGTCATTTACATTGATCGCCTAACTTAAGCTATACTAGAGCTCCACAAACAGGCAAAGGGTCGAGCCCGAATAATAATATAGAAAATGAGGTCTTCTTGAACAAAATAATATTAGAACATCGGCAATTGACAATTTTTACTTCATTGCTGGGCCAAAATAAATATAAAAAATTCAGGCAGAATTAAATATAATAAGAATTTCGAGCCGGGCTGGTTTCAGGGAGAAAAAAATTAATTTGTATGGCTATATCTAGTAATGTGAAATTCCCCGGAAAATTAAGTCTTGCAGAAATTCACAGGAAATAAAAATAAAAATAAAAAGTTAAGCACTTAAAATATTTTATTCATATATGTATACCACAATTAATATAAACATAAGTTCAAATTGAAATGAATTTTTATGATTATGAGTAATATAAGATAAAATGATTCCCCAGAATCTGAAACATATTTAGAAGATTAATCTCATTTTTCAATTTTATTGGATTATGTTAGAATCTAATCATGTAATTGTTGATCATAATTGATTGAACCAGATTTTCACACTCTTTCTAGTTGTAGTCAATTTCTTTTCGTTGTTTTTCCAAAAGCAGATCATATTCTTTCTGAGGTTGAACTAGATGGAGAGATTGAGAATATTTTGGCTGCTAATATACAGTGTTTGATATGTACAAATCCCTATCCACCAGATTAATGGCGAAATATTTCAAAACCCAGGACGTTTGCAAAAACCTTCTTTTCACCAATATTTAGCTAGATTTGCCATTACGATGTCTAAATTTTAAACGATTGCTTCATCTATTTAGCTTGGTAAAAGCAGTTGGAAGTTCATGGGTAGACAAGGCGTGGGTCCAAAAGATTTGCTGTGAAATTAAAAGTTAGTCAAAATTTTTTCCTTTGTTTAATATAAGCTTTAGTTATATTGGGTATTGTATTTAAGTAAAGTTGTAAATTATGTTTTATTTCTGTAAATATTTCTGGTACATCAGAGACTTACATTATGCACATGTCAGAGGAAGATAATTATAATATGATTTAAAAAATATATAATCTACAAACATATACCTCAGAATTATAAGTAAAAGGGTATTCACTCATTCCAAATTGTAATGGCTAAAAGTATCATCTCATATTTTTTATTATGGACAACTTATAGGGAAGGAGATTGCAAAAACCGATAAATACATTATTTTACAAGTTATATAACAGAGAAAATAATATAGAAGCAGTAAGTTGGTAAGTAATAAGTTGATAATGAGAGACAACCAGATGTTATTCAATTAGGAATAAGTTATTTTAAATATGGCTAAAGATAAAAATGATAACAAATAAAAAACGGCAAGAAAAATAAAAAGAAATTGCCATATATTAAACTAAATGGAAAATATTCCCAGGGGAAATAGATCATTTTCCCTTATATTTACCTTATACCTACATCACCAGCTATACCCGATATCCTTTTTATGAAGCTGCTCTGATTGATATTTGCCAATTATCAATAACTTTATGTGTTCGTTATATACATATTTAATATTTTCAATTGCCCGTCTATTTTTTATAGAATACCATTTATGTTATTACCATACCATAAATATCATTTAAAATCCTATCCTACAATTAAATTTCAATTAATCTATCATTTTTGGTTTATTTATTTAGTTATATACATCAATGTAAAAGTTTAAAAAGTATTTTTATTGATAATTTATCTATTTATTTAATAAAATTATAAATTTATTGTTTATATAGTAATTACTAATAAATAAACAAAAATACTATATATTATAAATAAACAATTATAATTAATATATATCTAAGATTTCGTTTCAGAAATACCTAAATTTCTAGTTTAAGCAAAGCACCATAGATAACTTTAAAAAAAATCAGTGTGGGAGATTCTTTAATAATATAAATTTGTTTTTTTATCCTCATTAATAAATAATATTTAAATAGTTTATTTAGGATTTCAATCAATACTTAATTTGACTTATTAAATTTATCACGAAGGGTGTGATCGAATAATATAAAACTCGGGGAAAAAATAGAATAATATTTAAAATTGTAGATAAATTTTTATAAAAATTTGGTTCAATAAGAAAAGAAAAGTCAATATTTCATTTCAAAATCAGTAAGAATTTTATTCTACCCATTTTAAAAAAATTACACTATCGTTTTCATATAAATTTATAGAAATGAAAACAGCATATTGTAGTCTCCGAAAAGATAGAAGCTTTCGACTCCATTTCAATCTCGTTTTCATCAATTATATTTCAATTAAAATAAGTTTTTGGATTGGAATATCAGTGTCATAAAATATGGTGACTCTTCCAAAAAATAATGAACAGGAATAAAAAAGTGTAAAGTGTGAAAAGAAAAAATAGGAGAAAAAAAAGGACGAATTTAAATTTTTATTCCCATTAATGTCAATTTATATAACATGTACATTACTTTCTCCTTCTTGGTCACATTATAAATAACATCCTCATATATTTCCTTCCTGTCTCTCTCTTCTACGCAGCTCCATATTTCTTCTTGTCCAAACAAAAATTCGGCTCTCCTAAAAAACAATACATTTATAGAGTAATCGTAGTAATAATTTGATTTAATAATATTATTTCATCTTTGGGCATCTGGTTATGATGAGGCGGGGGCGTGGGGGTTATAATCTTATAATAGGATACAAAAATCAATACCTTTCCATTTCTTAATAAAAAAATGCTCCAGATCAATACATTCAAACAAATGAAGTAAGAAATCACTAAATTTATTAATCCAAAAATGTCAATATGTAATGTTTCTTTCTTTCAAATCTCTTTCCGCATAAAATTAAAATGAAACAAGGACGAATATCATATAAAAAAAGGTTTATAAATCTAATTTTATATGAAGAATTACTTGTATTTAATGGTAGAACTCATTTTCTCGTGATTCTCCAGATAAATTTGCAAATCTTCTTTAGCTTTCTTAATTTTCAATCTTTTTTCGTCCTGAAATATTTATATAAAAAGGTGGTTATATATCAAAAATTTATACAAAAGTGCAAAATAAATAAATAATTTTCAGAAAAAGAAATAGGCAAACAATTACCTTTTCTTCCTTTCCCCTTTGGGTCTTGTAAGCATTAAAAACTTGCTTCTTCTCATTCATTTGTTTGAGCACAGTGTAACGAGGATCGCTGACTATAATTTTCATAGCTTGATCCCAGGTTAGATTAGTAGGTATATTCTTGCAAGTTTAAGTTTATATAATATAGGGCATTACTTATTATTGTCAGAATTGGAATACTAAATTAAACATGGGGGGGGGGGTTCTGATTTCCGGTTGTAAATGTTTTTTAAAGTGGTGCTTTAGCCTAAAAGTTTTTGAAAAGTAGGTTCTAGTTCCGGTTCTTAAATTTGGCGTGATTCCGAATATTCTAGGTTCTGGTTCTAAACTGTGATTATAGTGTTATAATTTTGGATTAAATTCAAAGAATAAATATTATAAATGATGTAAAAAAGGGAGTTTTGAAGAATCGGAGTAATGCTTTGGAGTTATTACTGAATGAATTTTGAAAATAATACGGTAATAAATAGGTTGCCGTTGAAACCTTAAATTATACCCTTCTTTTTACATTCTATTATCAAAATTTTACGTTGTTTATCCCTTCACATTAATATAATATAAGTAAGTTGATAGGACTAAGTAGTTCCGAGAGGAATTTTAAAAATAAATTACTAAAAAACTCAATATTGTTCCTTTCTTCATGGAAAAAATAATAGGCCACACCGATAATTTTTTTTTGATAGTATGTCTTAAAAATATCTATTATTGGTATCTCACTTTATCCCTTAACATTTGTTTGAACAACTCTTTCGCCTCTTCCAAATTTGCGACATTGAGATTATAGGTTCTATATAAAAAATAAGTAATAAATAGAAATAAATGCAACCTTTATGTAGTAAACTCTTGTAGAGCACACCCCAGAGAATTTAAAATTGTTACTACAAAAAACCTGTCAATATAATGGCCAGATATTTTTCAGTAGCCTTTTCTTCTGCAAATTATCATGCATTTTTATTGAAAAACTTTAAAGATATAACGTTTTTGGAGTTAAATACACACATTTAAACTATAATATTTAAAAAAATATCATATAGAAAAATTATGTATAGTATTTAAGATAATTTTACTTTATTTACGACACTCTTTTTATAAATTATTATTAAAAATTTTTTAGTAATCAATCATCAAAATTTTTATATTAATAATTAATTAAAAGTTAATTTAATAAAAAAATATCAATTAATAACAATTTGAATGATATTTTAAATGAGGATGAGCAATGTCCCGCCCAACCACTCGTGTTATTTCTTTCAACCTCACCATATAAGAGTTAAATATATATAAATTTTCCGTTAATGAGAAATAAATATAAAAATAAAATTCGGTAATAGATGTAGTTAGGGTTGTCAAAAACAAGATTCGGGTAAATTTTAAAAAACGACCTGATTGAGATTTTAGCCAAAATAATATGTAGATTATGCCCACGGATGGCAGAAAGGGTTGGACTTCTATTTACTAAATCTCGAGGCTAACATAATATTATTTTTACTAAAATCTTAATAGGGTCGTTTTAACAACCCTGAATGTAGCGTTGTTAAACGGCTCGATTTGAACGATTTTTAAAAACGGCGAACTCAATATTATATCCATAAAATATTACGCAAGCCTGAAGATTTCCCTTATATGAAATGTTTGGACATCTATTGGTCAAATCTCGAGGTTTAGACAATCTTTTCTGGCTAAAATATTGAGTTAACCATATGTAAAAATGGGCTTAAATCGAGCCATTCAACAATACAGATATATGTCAAAATGAAAGTCATTAGAATTTGAGTTAACTATAAAAAGAAAAGAGCTTTCTATTTGCACATTTAAAGAAATAATAACACTCACGATATTTATACCTCATTTGTTATTAGTATAAACATTATACTTATGAAATTTTAAGAATTTGAACTTTTTTTTAGTAAATCTGGAATTATGAGTTTTATTTATTTAAAGGAATAATTAAATAAAAATTTATACATCGCAAAGATTTTATAGAAATCGATAATGTAATTTGCAATACTTCAGCGCGAAATTCCCAAAGTTATGATTTATCTAATCATCATTTTAAAAAATAATAAAATTTACATGTTAGAAGAATCAGAGGATTTCTTAGCTCCTTCAGTGCTAGCCTCGTTAGTAACAACAGATAAAGTGTCATGCGACCCAATTCTTTCGTTTTGCATAGCTCCCTTCAGATCCTCAAGGATCTTCGGAATTTTCCATGTGGATTCTTTTGTTTCGCTATTGTGGTAATATATCTTTCCGGCGTCTGATTTGTATTCTTTCCAGGGACATTTGGTAAGGGCTGCCTATAAATAAAAATATTTACGGTTTGTTTTACTAATTAGCCTCTAATCTTTTGACCAAAATTGAGTTATGGGATGAAGATGAAATCATTATATTATTATTAAATATTCTAAAGAATCTCGTTTAAATAGACATTTATCATTAAGCGAAATTTTGAAAATAATTCGATATGTCCTCTGATTAAATAATACTTATAATAAAGATAGCCTGATTAACAAATACTGTATAACCAAAAAATGTTCTCCATTTTTAAAAATTACTTCCCAAAGTTTTGTAAAAGAGTTGTACTATCCAAAGCTTTTTATCAAGTGCAAATAAAATCTTTTTTAAAAAATTATCTTTTTCATTTATGGAGTAAATAAAATTGACACTCAATTTAAAAGTACTCCAAAAGGGTTTCCAATATTAGTCTATTAGCCAAAATTTTTTATCTGGTAAATTTATAATATTGTTTTATATTATAAAACGCCTTTTAGGGTTCATCTTGCATTAAAATTTAGATAGCCAAATAAAATATAAAAATCATTTTGCAAATTTCTTCCTGTTTATACTAAAAGATGATAAAATATATACAAATAATTTTTAGATAAAGATTATTATAATTTATTATTATAGCAATTTCCACAAATGGACTGTTTGCACCTGTCACTAGTGTTGTTAAACGGCTCGATTTAAGCAATTTTTAAAAACGGCCAACTCAATATTTTAGCCAAAAAAATATTGTATAAGCCTCGAGATTTCGTTAATAGATGTTCAATCCTTTGTTCCACATATGAGCAAAATTTTAAGGCTTGCATAATATTTTACCTATTAAAATATTGAGTTAGCTATTTTTAAAAATCGGCTCAAAATGAGCCGTTTCGTTTACTACACTACCTATCACGTTTGTTCTCTTAAAAAATTTAGCTCATTAAAAATAAACACTTGAACCTAGGAATTTCTTATTCCTTAGGTAAAAAAAATTTTTTAATTTAACTATTGTACCATTTTAGGAACACAACTATGTTTTGGATATTAGTTTAAAAAATAAATTGAAATAATTGTTACGATATAAAGAATATGTGATAAGATTATATAAATAATAGCGAATTTGATAAATAATATGATATTTTTAAAATATTACGTAAAATAATTCCCAATTTTTGGGTTATATATTAAATTATAGCCATGCGGAATTAACTATTATTTCGAAATGTTAAATAATGCAAAGCTTGAAAATAGTGCGTTTACTATAAATGAGGCCTTTGTTAAAATTTTGAATTGAAGATATTAATAAAAAGGCAACCTCAATTTAAACAAGCAATGCTTTATGTTATTTTTTAAGTACGATAAAACGCAAATGTTCAATTTATATGCTACTATTCACAAAAATACCCCATGTAACCTCTCCATTGAGCCACGTGATGTTAATTCAAAATAAGAATGTTGATATTATTAACAAAACAAACTATATAAAAAATAATTTATTTGTAACACTAATTATAAATAAAATTAGCATAATTTAAATACACTATAAATTAAAATAAAATAGCTTCCTCCATACATCTACTAAACAAACTATTGCCAAATCTAATTTAGTGTTGGATTGGAATAATGCTGCTTCTTCACTAAATCAATCAATTTTGATAGCAGTACTGTTTCAGTGTTATCTAAATGCTGTGTTTACTTTTCTCCATTCCCCTAGGTTATGTTTCTTTAAATGATGGTAATTCTAAAAAAACTAGTCCTGCATAGTTGCTATTAAGGCCGATTCTTTGGTTTCATGCTTATGTTCTTATTTTTTCCCATAACTTTGCCTCCTTTTGATTGTACGCCAATTTAATGTGTCCCCATTCCCGGGATCAGGAACACACGAATATTGGTGAAAGATTCATCATCCACTGACTTCTACAGATTAATTACAGTGGCTCTAACTTCATGGAAATAATATTCTTAATTTTTTGGGCCATGTAAATTGTTTCTATAATTCGAATTTATCACCTTAGGTACAATGGGATACACGATATTGTTCTGCTATCGACTGTAATTCATCATTGAATTATTGTTCTGCTGTCGACTCCAAGTATATTCCTATTCTTTATTCATTGTTTGCATAACACAAGTTGTTAAATGTGTATATTTTATATTAACCATAATAATGTCTGATTTCATATTCAACCTTTCTTTTTAAAATAAAATCTATTTTAATTTACTCCAAATAAGTTATACCTAAATTTGATAAAAAATTTTGGATAAAATTTAAATGGTATCAAATCTTTATTAAAAATTTTGCAAATAATTAGTTTATATTGTTGGCAAATTAATTAGCAAAAACTTAGTGATCATTAAATTTAATCCCCAAATAATTTTATTCATTCAATTTTTGTTTATAAACATAAATCCACTTGTCTCATTCATATTATATCAATAGAAAATTTTTTAAATATGATATAATTATTCTTTTTTTTTTAAATTGAAATTACTCATTTGATTTATTAACAATATTTATTTTATTGATATAACCATGTTTTTATTAAAATCAAATTAATATCAGATTTGATCATATTGGTCTCTAAAGTTTGTTAATTTGATAAAGAAATTATATAGGTGAAGAAAAAAGAATACACTGTAATTATGAAATAAAATGGCTAAAATAATTATTTTCATGCAAAAATGGAGAGATAAAAAAAATGAAATAAAAAAAATTAGTTTAAATTAATAATTTACTTCAATAGGTGTCATTAATTCTACAGGCTTGTCCCACCGAGATTCCTTGGTGGTGGGATTGTAATAATATGTCCGACCATCTGGGGCTTTATGTTTAGTCCAGGCAGTATTTGACTTTCCTTTATCTACCTGATTATAAAAGATTGTTTTTGACATTTTAAGTTTCAAGCATGCACAACCCCAATTGAAAATCTTAAATCCTTTAGATATCTTTAAAATAATCTTATTGATACCATCTGAAATTCTTCCAAATACTTTAAATCATTGAATATTTTTATCCTACTATCTCGATTGTCTAAATTTTATCAATATTAGGTAAGAGAAAATTAGGAATTACAGAAGCTCAAGAATATCAATGATTGTTTGTTTTTTATTTAAATTCTTAATGAAATGACCCGAAAATAAATATTTTGGTGAATATAAGAAAATTTTCTTAAAGCATTCATTAACTTTGCTCAAAATTAGAAATGTATAGATTTATAGATTAATGAAGGTATATAATTTAGTAAAGAGATTATACATTATTTTCAGATGATTGTGTTTGAATTATCCCACTAGGTATAAAAGAAGGAGGAGGTAGCATCATAGGTGGTGGCATCATCAAATTTGCATGTGAAGGTGGCAAAGCTTAATCAAGAAAAAAGATGTTTATATTAGTGATCTGCATTGGGCCTAATTTTTCAAGCCCTGCCCGGCAAAACTTTTTTAACCCAATATTTTTATAAAAAGATTTGCCGGCCCAGCCCGAACCCCAATTTTTTTTTAAATATAGAAATAAATTTTTATAATTACTCAAAATAAAAGACATATGTTATATGGTGTTTCGTTTCAAATAAATTTTTTTATTTTACATAAAAAATTCAATATAAAATTGATAAATTTAGATATATTTAAAAAAATTTCCAAGGTCCGACCCAACTCAGCCCGATTTTTTTTAAAAATATTAGGTCCGGTTCGAATATTTTAAATATGGGTCAGGCTCAGGCCTGGTCTAACTTTGCAGATCTCTAGTTAATATATTCATAAAGATTAAACAAATTTTAAAATATTTAATTTAAAAATATTTGAAATAAAATTAGGTAATACCACTTAATATATTAAAATACCATAAAATTCATACAAATATAGCTAATAGTATTCCAATTATGTTTACATATTTTACTAAAACTATTTGATCTTAATAAGTATCGATAAGGATATTTCTAATTATAAACATAAAACCTGGGCTTGATGACTGAAATCCCATTTTAAAGTAAGGAGTATTATCTGCCGATAAGGAAGGCAATTGAGGCAATGTATTCGATTCTAAATCAATGTAATAAGATATTAAAGATATAATATTGGTTTACGTGGAACACCTGGATGATTTAATAGCATTGATGGAGATTGAATGAAACCTGGCAATGGAATTCCGGGCACATAGTGTGAGCCAGGCGAATTCATAGGTGGTAATGGCTATATTTAGAATTATTGGTTTATATTTGAAGCTTTTAAAATATTACAAAAGGTGACGGAGGTATCATGGTTGAGGAGATGAGTGGATTGGTGTTCATAAAATAGTTATACTTAGAATAGAAATATAAATGATGGAAATACTATTTACAGCTGTCTTATCAAATATCCTACTGTTAAAGAATTTAAAAATCTCTTTTGGAAAATGGGAAATTGTAATCAACTAAACATAATCTTTAGTATAATCCATGGGTCATAGAATATATTGATTAAGAATGGATTAAAAAAAAACTAAATATTTACTATCAAAAAGTGGGGTGTCAGGTAGGTTCAATCAGTTTTTCGTAATTAGGTATATTTCAATATGGTTACCAATGATATTAGAGTTTCAAAAAGTTTTCAGTTAGAGATATCTAATATATATAATGAGATATGTCCACCACTTTCGCGTACATATATGTAATTATAAATTTATTCAACTTATATGATTATGGATTTTAGGAGGAATCGTATTTTTGAAGAATTAATCCAAAATAGTAGGATTTATTTTTGTATTAATTTTAAATTTAGTTAGGCAAGCAGGATAATATAAGATTTTTATGCTCATGGTGTGGTTCCTTAAAAGAACCCAAAGTACGTATAAAGAAATGTTCAAATTCTTTAAAATTGTCTAAATTAAGTGAACAATTTAAAAATAAAGATTTTCTAAATTCAAAAGATAAACATGATATAAAAATGCAACAAAAATTTTGCAACCAATTGGTAGAATAATTTTTAACATTATTTTTATACATTCTTAATAGATTTATTCATGTGCTCAATGTCTAAATAAATCTGTTTTATATTATGCCAAACCTAATTTCCAGAAATATGCAAAACAAAATAAAGAACTACATAATATAAAGAGTAACTTATTAATATATGTTGGTTAAAATTTGTATTTTAGGAAAAAATCAATCAATATTGGATGATAAGCTTAAATTATCAGATAGTGTCAAAAAAATTAACAATGCTATAAATATTGATCATAATATCCAGAATCCCCCTTTGTTTTCTACACCAAAGAATATTACTAGATCTTCAATGAAAAAACTTCGTAACCTAAATTTAAGCAATAATAAGAATAAAAAATCTAAAGCATTACAAAAAATATTAAAAAATAATATATCAAGCTTTTTTAATTCTAGTTATGATTCATGTGATTCACCTTTATCAAGATTTTTAAACATATCATAACTTCTTATTATATAAAAAAGAATATTTAAATAGTATGATAGTTAATAAAGCATAATAATTTTTAGATACATTAATTTATTATATATAGCCATTTGTAAATTTGAATTTAGGTACTTGTTTTGTTTATTATTGTTGCAATGATAAATAATTTTTGTGTTGTAATAACTTATATAGTAGAGGTGAAAGTGTGCATAATATTCTACAAGCATGTAACCGAGAAGGAGAAATCCCTTTCATTGCAATAAATATCTTAGAATAATAAAAATTTCCCCCCTGCACACCCCTCTCTTAGCAAAAATTGTATACCATATATTAGAGATCTGCAAAGTTAGGCCAGGCCCATACCCAGCCCGAGTCCATTCAGGCTGGGCTTGGGCCTAATTTTATTTAAAATAATTGGGTACGGGCCAGGCCTAATATTTTTTAAAAAAATTCTGGCCGGGTTGGGTCGGACCTTGGAATTTTTTTTAAATATATCTAAATTTATCAATTTTATATTGAATTTTTTATGTAAAATAAAAATATTTGATTTTATTTATTGAAACTAAGCGACATATAACATGTCTTTTATTTTGAGTAATTAAAATTAATTTCTATATTTAAATAAATTCAGGCCGGGCTAATAAATTTTTTAAAAAAAAATTTAGGTAAGAGCCAGGCAGGCAACTTTTTTAAAAAAATTTAGGGCTGGGCTTAAAAATTAGGCCCAATGCAGATCACTACCCACTACCATATATTACGTAAGACTTTGAAAGAAAGCAAAAAATAATAACTTATTTTCAAAATAATAATTAAAATTTAAAATATTTAGAATAAACACATTTTTATAATAATAAAAAAAGTAAAACCCCAAGAAAATTTTTATAAAAATATAATATAGCCAAAGGTTATCAATAAGTGAACCCAAAGGCCTTCAATAAAATTTATTGGGGATAACATTTAATAGTGCTTCCCCCCCCCTTTCTAGCAAGAGTCTGGATACACCTCTGCTTAGCATGGTACTTCCTAGGACTGCAGTAGGGGCCAAAAAATTATATGATCTTAAAAATCTGGGATAGGTCTAAAGATTTTTAAAAAATTAAAAATCTCTGCTAACTCAGGCTTAAAAATTTAGATAAGTTTTCTTTTAAAAAAATTAATTTAAATTATATCAGATGAAAAATCATAAATAAAGCAAGTAAAATGCATTTACTACTTATATTTTCATTTCCCAATTGAAATAATTTGCAAAGTGCAGCCAAAATTCGAAATTATTTATTAAAAATTTGGAACTAAAAAATAATAATAAATTAAAATGAAAAATTTTAAATCCACACCATGCCTAAGATTTTGATTTCTGAAGGTCTGTCTCTGATTTATATTACATAATAGTGAAGGTCTCTTTGATCCAAAACCATGGTCCTCATAAAGTCTAGCTTGGACCATGATCCTATATAATAAAAAAACTGGTCCAGGGCTGATCTTAATTTTTTACCTAATTAATTCTTATTTTTTTAAAAAATATTTTGTTAAAGAAATCAAACAAATTTGAATAATTTAATAAATAATTTAAATAAATGCTAATGTCTTTGTTTGTTGAACTGAACTAGAAGGAATTAGAAGTTGGATTTAAGGGTGGTGGTAGATCTTTTTCATTTTTTAACCAAGAGCCTCTACTCATCAAATTTGTTTTGTTTGAAAGCCCATTCCCTTTTCCTATTTCATTATTGAACCAAGAACCTGTACACATTAAATTTGTTTTGTTTAAAAGACTGTGCCTTTTTTTATGACAAGAATCCTTGCTTTAGAAAATATTTGTTCGCCAATGGATCAAAACCGTAATGAATATCGGTTTGGGTATAGATTCAGATAAAAATAAGAGTTTATGGTTCAGATTCGGTTTAGTTTGAGCCTTAAAAACCGATTTAGAGATTTAACATACAAGCGTATTAGATTTATGTTTAAAATTTTATTTTCAAATGCTCTTCTGTCAAATTATATCTATATGGTGGAAAAGTAAATTTTAGGGCTGGGATCAATTCCATATGCCAACTTGGGTAGCTAGTGTTACATCTGAATATTTATTATTGTAAAGGTTAAGATATATTTTAAAAGGTCACGTTATATATTTTAAAAGGACGTTATTTGTATATAACTTTCCGACATGTAATATTATATTATCGAGGTTAATCAAATTGCATATTATTAGAATTTAAATTGGATAATTATATAAATGTATATATACCAAAAGAATTACAAATAAAATTCATTATCGTTTTTTAAACTTTAATCGATTTAATATTTGGCGACGAGGTAAAAATCGCGCGGTTTTCGGTCAAGTTAAATGTTATATAGAATTATAATTTTTTTTTGTTTAAAATAAATAAATTGATTTAGCAATTATGGATAAAAGATGAATGAGATAAATGGGCTATTGACGACTATAGACACATAAAAAATCCTCAAAATTTTTTATTGACGATTTAGAGGAGGAATATCATTAGATTAAGTCGCGGCCCTACTGAATCCATAATAAAGAACTAAGAATTCGCGATCAATTAATCGCCGAAGAACTATGTTTACTACCCAGTTACTAAAGACGAAGGCCAACCGTTAAAACTTAAACAAAATTATAGAATTTATGATAATGATAAAGGGCACTATCAAAAGGATAGATGCAGCCTATTTAGATTCCATGGATTATAGAATTTATGATAATGATAAAGGGCACTATCAAAATGATGATACAGCCTATTTGGATCTCCGGGGATTATAGAATTTGACACAGCCTATTTGGATTTCCAGGGATTATATAATTTGCCATCGTTACTAACATATGTAGAAATTAACATGATCAACAATATAATGATAATGGTATCGTGAATATTGACAAACTATATTACTCTAATGGTAGTGGATGTAAAATTTCAGGTGTGGGAAAGAAGATATGTTACATCTGAATATTTATTATTGTAAAGGTTAAGATATATTTTAAATGGTCACGTTATATATTTTAAAAGGACGTTATTTGTATATTATTATAACTTTCCGACATGTAATATTATATTATCGAGGTTAATCAAATTGCATATTATTAAAATGGATAATTATATAAATGTATATATACCAAAAGAATTACAAATAAAATTCATTATCGTTTTTTAAACTTTAATCGATTTAATAGCTAGCACCATAAATAAATTATTAATCATCTTTAAAGAAGTTAAAATGTCAAAAGGTTCACAGGCGTTTTTGGTCGAATGACTAATTCTTTTACGGCTGGCTTAGGTTTGGTAAATAAAAACATTCAATATCAGTTTAACGGTTCAAGTTCTGTCTGAATTCCTGGGTATACCTAAATGAATTATTCGATTAGTATTTTACTAATACGAATAAAAAAATTCTTCGAATCAAATACAAATAAGGCAAATATATATTTTAATAATCTAAGAATCTAATTTTCGAATCGAATACTCGATGAATCAAATGGAATAATGTTTTTATAGTTCGTAAGAATAAAGAATTATTTAATTCCTATTAATAGGAATAATATAATTATTAGTGAAAATACGATTAATGCAAATATTTGATTCGTATTTTTAATGTATATTCACATGGGACAGATGTTTGAATTGCTAAAAAATTCCTAACAGCAAGTGATGTTTTTTATTGAGACTATAAGTTAAATTTTTTTTGGCAAACTCTTCGATTTCTTAGGCAAAATATAAATGAACTAAAATAGAATCACAAAAGTAAAATAAAATTTTTTATATTTGCCTTAAAGATTATTGATGTAATAGTTTCATAATCATATAATAAATATCTTTTTTTGTTCATTAATCATGAAACTCCTTTAAATTGTATTTATTCTTAAGATTAAATAATACTATTAAAATAAGTCTACTCATGAATCTAAGATAGTGAGCCAACTCAAGATCAACGAGTCGGCTCATATAGTAGATATTTTGAAAAAAACCTCGAGTTTGTGCTAAGTTGACTCGGCTTAGCCTTTAATAATATTAGTATCAATTAAATATTGAATTTAAAAAAGTGTTTCATTGTTACGATCCTTATATTTCTTAGCTTATATATTTTTCATATATATATCTCATTTTATTTTTTACCTTACAGTTTTATTTTTATATCCTTTATTTTTTTTTATATTCTTACTTAAACTTTTACACTCAATTTTTTATATTTAAATTCAAAATATATTTTTTCTACTATTCACTTAAATTTTTTTTTATATAATATTGCATATGTCCAACAAAAATTTTAATGGAAATAAAAATTTTAGGTTTTGTGGCGTCAAAATTAAAAGATTATCCTTATTTAAGTAATTTCCAAAGTATTTTATTATATATTAAATTTTATTTTTTATAGACACAATTTTATTAATATATATCCGTGTGAAATCTCTAATTTATAAAAATGAAATATATTTTTTCCGTTATATACAAAATCATCATCTATTGGCTATGGTTAGGTATCTTTGAATAATTACAAATTAAAAGAATTTGAAAATTTATTTTTTAATTCTCAGAGATTTCAAAGTTTGGCCCTTTGACTAATAAGTTTAGAGAATCAATTAGTATCTTTTTGAAAGAGTAAGATGTGTGGTTTGATTTTATAAATATATGAGAATATTTTTTGGCTTTCTATCTCTCAACAATATCAAGTGGATCATAATTTCTATGAGTGGATGTGAAAATGTTAAAACAAATAAAATACTAGTAAATATGCCTACCATTATCATATGAAATGAGGGTATATCTTTCGGTGCGAGCTATTATAATTAACAAATCTCGCAGTTCTAGTTGTGGTGAGTAATTTTATTAACTTTATGCCTTATATATTTGAACTCATTAAAAGTGGAATGGGTCCCCGCATCCTTAACTAACTGTAAAAGTGAGACATTCCCTTTAGTTTTGTGTGAATCTGTATTCGTTACCCGTCTGAAGAGAATTAATCTGCTTGTGAGAATAGAGGTTGGTAAGCTACCGAGGGTATATGCTCGAATACTCAATAAAGCATGACACAATAGC